TGACAGGATGTTCTGGGCCTGAAGTCATTTTGCATATTAATTATTTTTATGCCATGAATTGAACTCAGGACCTGGTACTTGCCAGGCAGCCACTGAGCTATATTCCAGCCCTAAAAAACCCACCTTCTTTTTTCTTTTTGTACCAGGGATCCAACTCACACACACACACATACACGACCTTGCACTTGCTGGGCAGGCGCTATAGCCCCAGCCCCTGCATTCATTCTGCACGGAAGACAGACTTGGGGTCCGTGGCTCTGGACTTGGAGAGTCTCCAGCCACCTTGAGGAACCAAAACTCGAGCCCAAGGGAACAAACAACTCCTAGGCCAGGACTCACCAGATGCCTGCACATAAAGCTCTGAAGAAGAAGGAATTCACAGTCGAAAATCACAAAACAAACTCAGGACTGAGGCGCCCTAAGGGAAGCACGAGTTGCAGAGGTCACAGCTAACGGGATTGGCACTGAGGGACTGCGGTACCCGGGGACCGAAGGCGGCACGGGGAGAAAGCGTGGGTCTCCTGAGAGCCGGGACACCGGGCCCCAGGACAGGGCCACTGCTCACATCCAGATCGTGGCCAGAATTTCATTTTCTGGGCTCTGTTCCTCTCGATGACAAGAAGTATCTGGAACCAAGTGTGAGCTCTCCGAGGGGGAGGTCCCCTGATGCAGCCGTGGGTTTCAGGTGCGGACGCTGGAACCTGACCACAAAGGCTCAGTTCAAGCTGTGATGTTCTCGAGGCCTGAACCTGGGAAGGGCGCCAGGCCTCTGCGGGCTCCCACGGCTTCTCTATCTGCGGAGCCAGAATTAACAAATCCACCTCTTCGGCACTTGGGGGCCTTCAGTGACACACTCAGGGCTCTGCAGGTGCCCAGCGCACAGAATGGAGTCCCAAGGCAGCTGTGAGAGGCAGCACGTGCCCACCTGCTCGGACCTCTGCTCGGTCTGGTCGCACCTCCAGGCACCACCAGCACCCCAGCTGGGGGACAACGGATCAGTCTTCTGCAGCCAGACACCGAGGCTGAGAGCAAACATCACCGGTGGACCAGGACTGTGATCCCAGCACCCCTTCCTGGTGGCCCTGTCTGCCTCCAAGGCCACATGTGGCTGCCACCCTTTCTGCCCCGCTGTTCCGGGATCCCCTTCCTCTCCTCCCCGTCAGCCTCCAGCCTCTGCTGTTCACACCCAGATCCCCATCACGATCTGCTGGCTGAGATCTGGTTTCTTCCTAAGAGAAACCTAGCTTCCTGCTTTCAAAGTAACATTCTTGAGTCACGCTGGTACCCACCCATGATCCCAGCTCTTTGGGAGGCTGAGGCAAGAGGATCACAAGTTTTGGGAGGCTTAGTAACCTAGCAATACCTTATCTCAAAATAAACTAAAAACGAAGGGCCTGGATTTGTGCCCAGCACCACATACACAGAGACCTTTGCTTCGGGCACATGAAGGATTGATTTTGTGTGAGAGGAACCACGGGAAGAGTCGGGGACACAAAGACAGAACAGGCAGGAGCCATTTCCGCTGTGCTCACCCCACTTCTGGGCAGCAGCTTCAGCCGTGGTGGCTCGCTGGTCACGGGCTCATGGCAAGATGCCACACACAACATCGGGGGACCTGGGGTGCGTCCACCACTCATGCACAGAGCACTGATGATTCGGAGGCCCACAGGCCCACGCTCCGCTGATGCCCGACTTTGACGGCAGTCTCTGGTCTGTCATCTCCACTCAGTGTTGACAAAGCAAAGCAGAGAACACAAAGCAGGAGAGAAATGCGTCCTGTCACTCGTGCTCCCGCCCCTGTCGGGCTTGGCAGCCCCCGGCCGCCCCCGCCTTTGTATTACGGGTTTATGTCAAGGTATGTTGGATGCTAAATTAAATGTCAGCCCGCTGTACAGTTCTGGCTCCAGCTGCCGAGAGTGAGGCTGGTGCTGGAGACCATCCAGCTGCTCGCTCGCCGTGCCTAACCGCGAGGGTGACAAGCCCACTGAATCACGGCACGCACCTCGCCCTGCCACGGGAAGCCAAGACAAATTTATTTTTAATGATAAATGTGACTGTCAGAGGGAAGTTGAAGCAGCTTCCTGGCAGCGCTGAGGGCCCCCGGTGGCGCGAGGCAGAGGCTGGGTGGACAAGGGCCAGGAGTCCCGACCCCGTGGCCTGCCAGCCCGAGCCCCAGGGACTGGGAAGTCTGACACTCAGCAGCGCTCTCCAGGTGGGCGGGCAGCCCAGGGCCAGCTCCGGCCAAGAGGCACCGGGGGCTGGAGAAGACCTGGGCTCCGACCGGAGTTCCGGCTCCGACCTGCCGATCGCTGTGTGACCTCGGCGAAGGCACTTACCCACGCTGCGGTTGCCTTGTCTTTTAAAATTAAGACGATTCTGTGAGGCGTGGGGTGCACACTGGTGAACCAGTGCCTGGGAGGCTGAGGCAGGAAGACTGCAAGTTTGCAATCAGCCTGGACAACTTTGTGACTGAGGGAGAGGCTGTCTCAGAATAAGAAGCAAACAGGGTTGGGGTGGTGTGCAGCGCCAAGGCCCCGGGAGCTCAGCGCTCAGGACTGCATTAAGACACAAGTAAGCAGGGTACGGACAGCACCCCTGGGGCTTTTGTGCTGCTAGGGAGCAGTGACCTCGGAAATGCTTATGAAAGGTCACCGAGTGTTAATGACACCATTTTATTAGCGGGACCATCACCCAGGCCATACTGCGGCTTTCAGAGCCAGATTCCTCACCTCTAAATTGGGGGTCACAGAGGCGCCCACTTGTAGGGTGGCTGGGAGGGCTTTGAGGTGCCTGGGGCCAGGCTGATGCCCAAGCTGGCAGCAGGTCCCGGGCTGGTTCCTGGGTGACTCTGCTCTGCTTATGACTCTCCAGTATGGGGGCGCCTTGCCGTCCACCCACTGTGCCCCCACAGGACAGTGTGGAACCCTGGTGAGGGCGGATGCCGCCTGTGATTGATGGGTCCCAGCTCCAAGGGAAGAGCGCGGGACATCCTGGAATTTAAACTAAAACTCGCAGACAGGAAGGCATTGCCTGCCAGCATAGTCATCACAGGGAGGTGGCCACGGGCAGGAAAAACATGGACGGGCAGAGTTTGAGGTGGGGAGCAGAGTGGGGGGCAGCATCAGCCTTGCCAAAGGCTCTCCTAGGGTGACCGGCTGCCTCCTCCTCTCACACCTGCGGGCTGCAGCTAGCCCTTCTCCCCGAACAACGTCTCAGGTGTGTGCAGCACAGCACAGGGGCTGCGTCGCACTTGTCCTTCCGAACGCAGGCTCCTCCTCTGGGGTCCTGAGCAGAGGGGTCTTCACTGCTGGGGGGCGGTTCAGACTCTGGCACCCTGCCAAAGCGAGAGCCAGGGCCTCACAGTGAACAGGTGCGAGGACCCGGCGCAAGCACTGCCAGGAGGAGCCACTAGGTGGCCCCCGCGCGCCTGTCCAGCTCCCTGCTGCAGGCCTGGGAGCAGAGTGGGCTCCTGTGTCCATAGCGGGGCAGCAGCTGCAGCAGCACGGGGGAAACGCCCTCTCAGCAGCACGGCATCCACATGGCCCACCTTCTCAGGCACCGCCTCCCCTGAAGGCTCAGCCACCCAGCGACCCCACCCTGCCTCAGATTCTCAGTTCCGCCCTCCCCAGGGCGGTCTTCCGTGGGTGCTGCCTCGTGGGGAGGACACAGCGTTTCCATCGCTATGGGATCCTGGACTGGAGTCCCTTCCCCGTGCCAGGCACTGCCGAACGCCCTGCAAACCTCAAGCATTTGACTGTGATGTTCACCAGGGAAACTGAGGCCAGGGAGAGCAGGAAGTCTGCCCAAGGTCACGGCAGGAGGCTGAGCTCTCCCAGGCGGTGCTTCGTGCCGCCTCTCAGAACCCAGGGCGCCCTCTGGAAGTGGGCACTCTTCACTCTTCGGGAAACCGAGCCTCGGAGATCCGGCCTCAGACCACATGGCAAGCTCTGTCCTCACCGTACCCCCCTGCCCAGGCCTAGGCCTGGCCACCTGCTGGCCCCATCATGGACAGGATAAGTCAGGTGCCCCCGGAAAGGGCAAGGGCCAGGACAGACTGGCCTCCTGACTGCTAGCTGGCCTGATGGGCAGCGGTCTGGAGACTGGAAGGTAACCGGGGCTGTGGACCATCAGCTGGGGCCCTGGAGACCTGGCTTCAAGAGGCTGAGAGGACAAGCCCCCCCCCAATCCACAGCACCCACTGCCCGTGCCAAGTGCTCAGAGGGACAGACAGAGGGACTAAAATGGGGCGACAGACTGGCAGCCGGTGGGGGAGAGACTAAACCGGTGCCAGGGAACAGCCCAGCGGGCCCAAACGCCCCGCGAGCCGGAAAGCAGCGTGGGGAGACGCGGGGAGAACGGGCGGGGGCGTCGCTCGGAGCCTGGAGGGGGGCGTCGCGCGCAGAGCCACCCGGCCGAGCCACAAAAGCAGCTCGTTAACGCTCAGATTAAGGATTTTGCCAATTACCTCGAAGGCTGCAGCGGATTAAATGCTTTCAGAAGCGCTGGGGCGGGAGGGGGCGGCGAAAGGCCCCGGCTCGGATCCCACCCGGCCGCGAGGGAGGCGGGGGGCGCGCGGGCTGGGACCCGGGGGAGTCTGGGCGCGGGGCGGCGTTGGGGGCGCGGCGAGCTGAGACTGGCCCGGGACCTTGGGGCCGCACGGGCCCCCCCAACCCCCCCCCCGACCTCTGCCTGGTGCGCCCTGAGCTTCGAGGAGGCGCCGCCCCCGCGGGGTCTTGGGGCGACTCCCGCCCCGGAGAAAGTTTGAGGGGGGTCCCGGGCCCCTCGGGAGCGCGCGCGAGCACGACCGCCGGGGGATCCAGACCGGATCCCCCGAGACACGGTGTCTGTGCCTTCTGCAGGTAAAGTGTACAAGTGCGCGCGTGAGCGCGCGTGTGCCGGGGGAGCCGCGGGCGGAGCAGTAAAAGGCAAAAGAGTCCGAGACAAAAAAAAAAAGACGCGGGAGGGGGAGGGGAGCGAGAGGAGGCGGGGAGCGCGGGGCGCGGGCGCGGGCGCGGGGACGGCGGGGCCTCGCGCTCCCGCGCGACTCCCCGCGCACACCCGGCGCTCACACACGCGCGCACCTGCACACGGCGTCCGCGTCCAGGCCACGCCGGCGCCGGCAGCGAGCGAGGCGGGGAGCCGGGAGCAGGCAGAGCCCGCGCCCCAACCCCGCTCCTCTCTCCGCCTGGGCGCCCGCAGCGGCGCCTCCCCGGAGATGGTCAACGACCGCTGGAAGACCATGGGCAGCGCGTCCCAACTTGAGGACCGGCCGCGCGACAAGCCGCAGGTACACCAGAGCGGGGACGCCGGTCCGTGCGGGGCGCGCGGGGGCTGGAGTTGTCGGGGCGCGCGCCCAGGGGTGGCTGAACTCAGATAGGGGCGGCGCCCGTGCGGGGTCCCCCCCGCGCTGCAGCCGGGTCCCCACAAACCAGGACTCTGCAGAGACCCCCGCGCGCTCGCGAGTGCGGGGCTAGGGAAGCAGGGGACCTAACGTGCGCTCCGGTCCGCCCTCCAGTTTGCTGTGTGGCCACCGACGAATGAGTTCCCTGGCGTGTGCTGCCTCCACCGGGGCATCTAAGTCCCCGTTCTCCAGGCCACTCGGTGCCAGGCACCGGGCATAGCAACGTGGGCTTCAGGACCCGAACCTGCCGCCCTCCCCCGGGGTCTCCTACTCTTCTCCCCTCTCTGGAGGACCCTGTATGCGGTAGATCAGAACACGCGCATCTCCTGCCAGGAGGCTGGCATGCGACTCTCAGACTTTAAGACAAGGGACGCCGGGCTCAGAGAGGGCCAGCTCCATCCCGAGGCCACACAGCGCCGTGGGATTTGAACCTTGGGCTATGTGCTGTGGGCAGGTGGCTCCTTCTCCCTTCCTGCTGCCTCTGCGCAGTGGCCGGTCGGTGGCCTACGGGGTGCCCGCAGCTGTGCCCTGCCAAGAGGTGAGGGCAAAGCACTGGGCAGCGCTAGGGCTGGAGTCCGGCAAGAGCGGAGGCAGAGGCAGGGGCACAGCCCCGGGGCTGCCCCAGGCCTGGGCACAGAGGGACCGCGATGGGCGGCAGAGGAGGAGGCTGCTCACCAAGGAGAGGAGATAATGGGGCTGTTCGTTTTAAATTTTAAATTTCTCCCAGACAGATGTCATTGGGGAAGGAACAGTTGAGTTTGCAGCCGCCACGGGGGGAGGGGGTGGTGGTGGCAGGGGCGGGCCTTGGCGGCCACAGAATCTCCAGTCTGCTCTTCTAGAGTCAGCCACAGAGTGGCTGGGGTCCCGGGCAGGGGCTGCGCAGGCTGCAGTGCCCACGTCACAGACCAGGGGTTGGAGAGGGCAAGGAGCCCCACGCCTCCCCCAGCCGCGAAGTGGGGTCTGTGCTCCTGGGAGATCCCACACCGGCATGTCACCAAGCAGATATGGAGTCCGACCTCTGCCTCCTCCTCAGCAAGAGCTGTCACAGCTGTGGGACTCACCCCAAGGCCTCCCCTACTGGTCATTTACCCACCCTGGGCTCACCCCACTTCCAGAACTGTGCTGCCGGGTTCCCCAACCCACACATATACGGGTGCCTGTACCCTTCGTCTTCTGGGGATACCTGGGGATACCTGGGGAGCTGGGTGTGATCATCTCAGCACTCGAGAGGCTGAAGCAGGAGGATCGACACCAGTTTGAGGCCAGCCTGGGCTTCTGAGTGAGTTCAAGACAAGCCTAGACTACACAGACTGGGGGTAGCTCGGTGATAGAGGACTCATCTAGAAGGACCTAGGTTCAATTCCCAGTACTACAAAAAAGAAATGTCAACTCACACGAGGCTGCCTCCTCCAGGAAGCCTTCTCTGACACCCAGTGTCCACGTCTCTAAATCCTGCCCCTTCTGCACCTGCTGTGGGCCGCAGCCCCAAGTCCATCCTCCCAAGGGCCCCCCTTGGGACATGCATTCCTTCTGGGCCCCTCTGTTCTCAAATTGTCCCTCCCTCAGGCCTCTCCAGCTCGTTTGCTACACGGTGTGGCTGGAAGCTTCCGAAAGAGGAGCCTGGGGGTGGGGAGCAGAGCCAGCAAGGACCTGAATCTTCTCTTGTGGCCTCGAAGTGTCTAGGGCCAGGAAGCAGCCTCCTGCTGGGCCCCGGGCCGCGTGGGACAGAGGCAGGCCTTGCGAGTCCCCAGGGGCAGCCCTCCCTCCGCACCCTTCTCCCCTGCTGACCGCTGTGTGTCCCTGCGAAGGTTCCTCCTCCTCTCTGGGCCCCAGCCTCCCCATCAGGAGCACCGAATGGCCCCAGCCCCTGCTTCCTCCTCTTTCTGGGGCTGCCAAAGGCTTGCTCCGATGTGTTCGGCAGGAGTTAACATTACTTGGGGGTCCACACCGCCTCGGTCCGCTGTGTCCCAGCCCCCCGTGCCCTGGCCCCTCATGGCTGGGTGACCTTGGACAAGCTGCCAACTTGGACTTTATTAGCGTGTCCTGTCCCCCCCCCCCCCAGAAGGACAGAAAGGGACTGTTACTGGCGCAGGGTGAAGCAGTGGACCGGTGTCTGCAGGAAGTCAGAGACCCTAGAAACGAAGGAGCTAGAAATAGACCCAGGTCTTAGCGTCCTAGAGTGTGGGGTGGGGGGGGGCCCCAGTCACCCCAAAGCTCTCTCCTGGGGCGGGGGCAGGGCTTGCTTCCCAGGGGTCCCCAGGCCTCTCACAGCAAGGTCAGCCCAGCACACAGGCTCTTTAGATGGTTCCATTCGCGTGGGGACCTCCGTCTCCCTCATGTCTAACCCCGATCCTCGACCTCTCTTTACTGAGATCCTGCCCTTGCTGGTGGGTGGTGAGCTGGGGGTACCCCGGGACAAACCCCCAGTCTGGTGTCACCGCAAGCTATGACAGATGCCACAGGAAGATGAGGTCCTGCTTCTTGGTCCTGGGTTTACAACACAGTGGCTGCCTGAGGGTGGAAGTGGGGGGAGGAGGGTAAAACACAGGACTTGGGGCACTGGGGACTCCCTCCTCCTGCTGGTCTGAGCCCCTGCTTTATGAGGGTCCCGCCCTCAAGGCCCCTGCAAGGGACCTGCATGTGTCAGCTGCATATTCAGTCTAGCAGAGCCAAGCTTCAGGGGAGAGCTGGGAGCCCTGGGAGGGCACTACACCCCACACACATGTACCAGGCCCGGCAGGACCCCCCCTCCAAGGCTCCTCATGCCCCCAGCCTGGGCTCTGTTGATATGGCCAGCAGGACAGTGGCTCTGACCTCACAGAAGATGCCTGCCCTTCTTCGGAGTCTTGGGGATGCTGGAATCGGGGTGGAGGTGTAGTGTCACCCACAGGCTGAGCTCAGTCCCTCTGGAGCCACTGCCCAGGCTGGAGCAGCTGTGGGCTTGTGGGGCACGGGAAGGGGCTCAGAGACGGGGCCTCTCCGGTCCAGCCCAGGGATGCTTTGCCCTGGCGCTGGGGGCTCTGTGCAGAGTGGGGGTATGTGCCCCGCTCCGCTGCACCAAAGGCTGACTGTGAGCCCCAGCCCCGAGGGTGCCCTGTGCCGCCATCGCCCCATTACCAGCCAATTTTTTTGCAAGGCATGTAAGCCACGGCCATAACCGCAAGGCCCATCTCCGGACTCATTCTCCTCTGCAAGTGCCCTGCTTCGGCTCCGTCCTCCGATCCCCCCTGCCTCTGGGGTGACCCTTTGGGTCCCCAGTCCCCCCTGCTCTGTGTCCTCTGAGGGCAGGGGCACCCTGAGAGCCTGGGGTCCATGTTACCAAGGAGGGGGCCGGCCGGCAGAACCGGCTGGGGACCTTAGCGCCACAGTCCGAGGATGCAGCTCCAAGTTGCTCAGGGCAAGGTGTCTCCGTGGGCTCTGCAGTCGGTGTGACAGGGACAGAATTGCTGACACAGAGCTTTGCCTCTCAGGGATGAGCGTCATGGGACAGCCAGGCCAGCAGGCATGGTGTCCGTGTGATCCCAGGCCGCCCGATGCTGGCTTTTCCTGCTGCCCCTGCTCTCTGTTCCAAGGGTGACGCTAGGCTGTCTGCTCTCTGAGCCTCAGTTTGCCCATCTGCAAAATGAACTCAACGTAGCACCAACCGGGGGAGAGCCGGGGTACTCTGGAGACTTCGGCAGTCAGAGCACGGCCCTGGCCCAAGGGACAGCGACAGTAATGCATCAGCAGTGGTTGGCAGCTTTTGTGGCCTGGAGTCACCCTCACTCTGCCATGAGGTCAGGGGTGGCCCTCCCTTGGGCTCAGCAGGGAGGTCCCTCCCGTCCACTTTCTCCTGGCCACAGACACATCCACCTGCTCCTCTCTGTTATCCATCTGTCCTTCTGCCTGCTTGGGCCTCAGCCAGTCCTGGGGACTGGGTGGTGCCAGGCAACCCGTGTGCAGAGGGGTTCCTGGTCCGTAATTCCCTAGCCCTGACGTCTCAAAGGATTTGGGTCCCCAAAGAGCTCGATACTTAAGGCCAGCACCCTGGCTTCCTGGAGCAGGGATTCGACCTGATACCCCCAGCCTCCAGCAGGGATCTTTAGGGACACCCGCCATCCCAGGCATGAGTTTAGGATGACAGCACTAGACCTGGGGTGGTGGAGGAAGCAGTCAAGGAAGACTTCCCAGAGGAGGCGCAGCCAGCTGGGCCCTGCAGGAGGGAGGCAGCAGGAGGGGGGGGCAAACACTGGAGTTGGGCTGGAGGACTGGGCAGGACGAGAGGGTCCTGGCCCAGGGCATGGCCACATGGGGCACTGGTCATAGAGGCATCACAGCTGCAGGGACAGCGGGGGGACCTGTCACCCTCACAGTGAAAGCAGAGCATGGCCCTCGTGCAAGTTCTGCTGGTGGCCTGCACCTCAACCCACCCTCTGGAGAATCGGGGCTGTCTGCTCTGCCGAGCCCTCTCCGTATGCAGCGTGGATTCTGTGCGTTGCACTGTGAGAAGGCCACAGGCCCAGCAGTGCCAGAGACGCTGTAAGATGACCTTGGGAGGCTGAGGCAGGAGGACTGCAAAGTCCAGCCCAGCTCGGGACACCTTAAGACTCAGTGAGACGCTGTCTCAGAAAGGAAAATGTTGAAAACAAACAAAGCCCAGGGGTGTAGCTCTGTATGAACCCCAGGTTTGAGCCTAGTACGTGAGGACGCTCTGAAGTGACACCTGGGCTGGGAGATGAAGGCCACCTCCCACCATCAAGGCTGCTAATGCGTAATGCAGAAGGCCCAGATGCCAGCCGTGGTCCCATGCATGTCCATATGCTGGTCACTTACAGAGAATCTTGCAGTCAGAAGGTCGGAGATGGGGGTGTGACGTGGAGGTACTGGGTGGCAGGCAGCGCCTTCCTGGGGGAGGCTGGAGCCTTGGGGTGCTACCAGGGAGCAGCGGAAGGTGCGGTGTGGGGTTGCAGGGAGCAGGGCAGGTGCTGGCCACGGGCCCAGGGGACATGGTGATGTGGTTCGGGAGGGCCTGGGAGGGCCCATAGGCATCGCCATTGTTATTTCCTGCACATTCATGGTGAGCGCTCACACTGGGGGCAGTGGGTCTGGAATGGGCGAACCTGGACCCTTCCCTTCCCTTCCTTCCCTCCCGTCTGCCTCCACACAGTCTGGTGCAGAGACGCAGGACCATTGCCACCCCCATGCAAGTGCTCACCCCTGAGCCCCACTCCTGGCCCTTTTGAGAGAGGATCTCCCTGCAGCTGCCCAGGCTGGTCTAGAACTTGGGATCCTCCTGCCTCAGGCTCCTGAATAGTAGGGACTTCAGGTGCCCACCACTGAACCTGGCTCTGAGTGGGAATCTTTACCCTAGCCCCCTGCCCCAGGGTGGGAAGGGTCCCCAGGTTGCACCTGGGGCAGTGCAGAGGTGCCTCACTCTCCTTTGGTCCTTGCCTCGGTTTCTCTTTTGTGCCCTTTCATCTCTGCCGCACCTGCCCTGTCCCCCAGGTCCCGCCCCCCACTCAGTTGCTAACCCTCGCCCTTTTCTCTCCTGTCTGTCTGTCTGTCTGGGCCCCGCGTTCCCGGCAGCGGCCCAGCTGCAGCTACGCTCTCTGCACCGTGCTGCTGTCCCTGGCTGTGCTGCTGGCTGTGGCGGTCACCAGCGTCGTCCTCTTCCTGAACCATATCCACGTGCCGGGCACGGCGCCCCCACCTGTTGTGAGCACAGGGCCGGCAGGGGTCAACGGCGCCCTGGTCACCGTGGAGAGGGCCGACAGCTCCCGCCTCAGCATCCTCATCGACCCGCGCTGCCCCGACCTCGCTGATGGCTTTGCGCGCCTGGAGGGGGCCCAGGCCTCTGTGCTGCGGGCACTGGCAGAGCACCGGGCCCAGCCGCCCCCCGACGGCACCCAGGAGCGGGAGCTGCTGGACACCATAGCCGACCAGCTGGCCCGGCTGCTGGCCCGGGCTTCGGAGCTCCAGGCCGAGTGTGCTGGGCTGCGCAAGGGCCACGGCACGCTGGGCCAGGGCCTCAGCACCCTGCAGAGCGAGCAGGGCCGCCTCATTCAGGTGAGGCCTGAGCCTGGGCCAGGGGCAGGGCGGGGCTGCGGTCACTGTCCCCCGGGCAACCCCAGGCTGCCTAAGGGCCGCCGTCCCCAGGAGCCGGGTTCCAGCCTGGCTGCTGCCCACGCCGTCTCCCAATGGTCCTGGGCCGTGCGGGGTAGGGAGCTGCTGCCCTGTCCGGTGATTCTCTGGGACCCCCGAGCCCTGTGGCCCACAGGTTTGCGTCACAGGCTGGATCCGCGGGCGCTGTCCTCCCAGCTGTCGTCCTCAGGCAGGTGGCCTTGGTCTCTGGGCTGGACCCTCTCGCCTTGAAGTGACTTAGGACCTGTGGCATGGGGTGACCGGGTGGAACCCAGGGTCTGGACAGCGTCCTCACCCTGTGGGACTCGAGCCAAGGGGCACGGGGACCCGACTGCCAAGGTTGTGTGTGGTCCCTGCCCCCATGCCGAGCCCCCCACAGAGGGCCTCTGGGTCCCTGCCCAGCCTCCTGTGCCATCCCGCCCCCCAGTGACTCAGGCGCTTTGTGGGGGAGCTGCCCCCCCAGCCCCGCCCCTTCCACCTGCCCCTCCCCCATGTGGAGACCCGGGTGCAGCTGGGGAAGTTTCCGTCCTCATCACCCTGTCTGTGGGTGACTGATGGGGGCGGGTGGGGGACGCTGGTGGCTTCCTGTTGCCCCTACCCTTCAGTGTCCCCAGGCCTCTGCAGCCGGGGGATGGGATCAGGGTGCAGGACAGCACCAGTGACTCCTGTTGCTCGCACCTCATGGTCACTGCACATTTGAGGGCACAGTGGGGTGGGGCTGCCAACTCCAGGACCCCAAGGTGGGCCCTCTGGTGATTCTTTAGGACAGGATCCCCAGAGGCCTCTGGCCGAGGGTTTGAGTGGCAGAGCTGGGTCCAGCCTGGGCTCCCACTTCGCCAGCTGGCTCCTCGGCAGGCGACCTCCCCGCTCTGGGCTGGGCTCTCTCGCTTTAAAGCTCGGGTGCCTGGGGGGGGGGGCTGCAGATGGTACAGGGCTGCCGGGCCTCGGGTACCAGCTATCTGCACCCCTACTTTATATTTTGAGTCAGGGTCTTGCTGTGTAATCCAGGTTCATCTCAAATGGAAATCCTCCTGCTCAGCCTCTGGGGTGTTGGGGTGACAGGCATGTGCCACCACCCTTGGCTCTTTCTGCCCCATCTTGGACTGACATTTAAATCCCTAAGGAATAGCGATTGACACTCTGTGGTGTGGGGGAGACAGGCCCGCCCCCAGCTCTGGGCTGTGTTTGTTACTGACACTCTTCAGGAGCTGGGTGCATTGGTACCCTGTACCACAGAGGGGTAGCCTGAGGCCAGGGCTGCTGAGGGACCTGAGGAAGCTTTGTCACAGAACTGAGCTGCACCAGAAGAAGCGGCTTGGGTTCCACAACCTCTCGAGGCTGCCAGTCGCGCCGCAGCTGAGCAGCTCAGGGACCCAATTTCCTGGGAATTCGGGGCACATTTATCTGGGCATCTTCCGCTCTTACCCGTTACCACTCTGAACCCACGGGCGAGCAGGAGGGGCTGGGCCTGAGTCCACACAGTACGACTTACCCGGGGGTCTCTGCACCCCTGGCTCAGCAGCTGTGTGGGTCCCAGCAGGGGCTGGCTGGCTGCTGCCTGCTGCGGCCACTGACCAGCAGTCTGGCCCTGCCCTGCCCCATCACCTGCTCGGTGGAGGGGAGAGCCTCACAGGGCCAGCCGGGAATCCGATTTTGTGAGCCATCCATGAGGGGCAATTTCTTTCCCTTCCTCCTGGGCTGTTAGTGGGTGATGGGTTCCATGTGGAAGACCTGAGGTGCTCTGGGCCACTGGGCGCCTCCCCCACCACTGGACCTGCAGCCTCCTGCGGCTTGGGTGGGGAGGCAGAGACCCTGGCCCTAGACCCTTCAGGCAGCCTCACTGGTGGGGTGCTGGGGCCAGCACAGGATGTGGGCCCCACCCCCAAAAGACTTTGCTCTCATCCCGGAGACTTTGGGAGGCTGAGGCAGGAGGATCCCAAGTTCAAGCCCAGGGGCAACTTAGAGAATTAAAATAAAGGGCCTGGGGAGGGAGCTCGGTGTGAAGGCCTGGGTTCAACTCCCAGATGGCAACAAACAAACAGAAACACCCAGACAGGCAAAATTTCCCCCCATACACACCCTGGGCATCGCTCCTGCCTGCCACACCTGGCAAGCGCCAGAGTCCTTCTGGGCCTCAGTTTCTCCATCTGTAATATGGAGGTATAGCCCCAGGTCCCAGCTGCCTGCAGCACCGTGTGGGCACCGGGAGGTGGTGAGCCACAGACCACAGGCCGGGGGAGCAGTGTTTGCTGGGGGAAGTGGCTCAGGGTGGGGGCTCCTTGCTCCTCCCTGGAGCTCTGCATCTGGGCTTCTGTGCCCAGGACCCCCTGCCCAGGCCATCCCTGGCCCCTGCCTTGGCCACTTTGTTTGGGGGACCAGAGGCGACAGCACTGGGGCCACTCTGTAGCCTGGACTTTCACGCTGTCTGTGCTTTGCTGCTGTGCTCATGGATCTCTCCCCAACCCCACGAGATCCCAGACCCATGGGATCCGTGGGGGCTTGGCTGACCCCTCAGGGTTCCATGGTCAGGGCCACTTCCCCCTGTGGGTGGCCGGTCCTCCACCCCTGTGACCCCTGAACCCCTGCGCCCACAGCTTCTCTCCGAGAGCCAGGGCCATATGGCGCACCTGGTGACCTCCGTTGGCGACATCCTGGACGTCCTGCAGAGGGACCGGGGGCTGGGCCGGCCCCGCCTCAAGGCTGATATCCAGCGGGCACCTTCCAGGGGCATCCGGCCGCGGGGCTGTGCCAACGGTGAGTGCCCGGGCTGAGCTCCTGGGGATGCCCGGGATGGCAGAGCCTGAGGCCGAGCTCCTGACCCTGCCCAGCGTGGCGGGGTGGATGGAGGAGCCGGAGCATCGGGGACAGTGCGGGTGGGAGGACACAGGCCTGGGTGGCGGTGCTGTGACCTGGCTTTCTGTCCCCGCCAGGCTCTCGGCCCCGTGACTGTCTGGACGTCCTCCTGAGCGGACAGCAGGACGACGGCGTCTACTCGGTCTTCCCCACGCACTACCCCGCCGGCTTCCAGGTCTACTGTGACATGCGCACTGACGGCGGCGGCTGGACGGTCAGTCTGGGCACCTCGTTCTGTCCACTCCACGGGGACCCGGGCCCGGAGGGGACCTCAGGCCCCCAAGGAGTAGATGGCATGTCCCGTAGTTTTCCCCAAATATTACTCAGATGCATTTAAATGTCTTCTTGTGAGCCAGGCCTGGCGCATGAATGCAGACATTGTAATGCCAGAGCTGCTTGGGAGGCTGAGGCAGGAGGATCGAAAGCTTGAGCCCAGTTTGAGCAATTTAGCAAGACCCTGCTTCAAAATAAAAAGATCAGAAGAGCTCAAAAGCTAAGCCCTTGCCAGCAGGCGCCGGGCTCCAGATTCCGCCTGTGATACTGAAAAAAGATCTTCTTTTGACTCTCTCTCTCTCTCTTTCCCCTTCTTTTCTCCCTCTTTCCCTCCCCCCTTTCTCTTTCTTTGAAACTGGGTCTCACTGTGGAGCCCGGCTGGCCTCAAACTCACACAATCCTCCTGCCTCAGCCTCCGGAGTGTTGCCCTCACAGGCATGGGCCACCCCCCCGCCCCGATCTTTTGATTGTTTCTTTCCAAGGTTGAAAGCATTGCTGGCTGGCATGCCCTCACAGCAGGTGACAGGCAGGGACTGTCCTGCGGCTGGGGCTGGGGGACCCCTTTCCGGAGTTGGCAGCAGCTGACAAGATGAATTTGAAGCTGCTTTTCCCTAACCGCTGGGCTTCAACCTTTCGGGGGATCCAGGCTGAAGGTTTCACTCTAGCTGGGCACTGCAGCTATCGAGTGATGGTCATATACATATTTAAAATGAGTCCCTTCTTTTATGCAAACTGGGGTGCTAGGCTTGGTGAGTTGGGATCCTTGCTCTGTTGGCCAGGTGATCTTGAATAGTCAACAACCCATACCACTGTCCCTGTGGGCACCACCCTGAAAACTGCTTATCTGTGTGGCTGGGACTCCATTCAGGCACAGCAGAAAGCAGGCTCTTCACGGAGTCTTGGCTTCCAGTTTAGTTGAGCACCTAGTATATACCAGGTACTAGGGAAGTACAGAGTTGGGAAGCCCCTCTCCCAGTCCTCTCAAGGACCTGGGAGGCTGGGGAGGCTCTGGGCTGGCTTCCTAGGGAAAGAAGACTTTTTGGCCCCGCTGAGGATTAAAACCAGGGCCTTGGCCCTGAGCCACATCCCCAGCCCTGTTTATTTTTTTAATTCTGAGACAGGCTCTTGTGAAGTCACCAAGTTCTCAGGCTGCCTCGTCCTGCCTCAGCCTCCCAGAGGGCTGGAATTACAGGCTTGCACTGCCAAGAGGGTTGAGAAGAGGACTTCCGGCTGTGTGCAGGGAAGAGCAGCAGGTCCAGGCAGGGTGACAGGAGTCAGGGAGCTTGGGGCACCCTTGGGGTGCTGCATTGTCCGGGAGTAGGCATGAGAAGAGACGAGGCAGAGGCGTCGGGCTCCGGCTCTGTGGCTCCGAGTGGACGCTGGAGAGGAAGCGCAGGGTGAGTGGTCAGAGCTGCGGGACACTGGCGCCCACCCGCCCCAGGGCTGGAAAGGAAGAGCTGACCGCGTGGTGGGGCCTCCCCGGCCAGCAAAGCGGGGGGGGGGGGCTCCGTTGCACTCAGCGGGCTGCTGGAGGGAGGGGCCCTGTGCCCAAGCTGGGGTCCCGCTGGTCCCCCTGCTGGGCCGCCCTCAGCGAGCCACTTGGGTTCTCTGGGCCTCGCTCTTCTCCATGTCACCGAGTGCTCAAGGGCTGATGGGTCAGGAGGGGACATCCCTTGGGGACAGGAGCTGGCAAGGACACGGACAGCCTTGCTGTCCGCCCGGAATCCCTCCCTTCCTGCCGCCCAGGCCGATTCAGGCCGGAAGTCAGTGCTTTTAAACTCGGGCGGGCACTGCCTGAGCCTCCAAAGGCAGGAAGGAGAGGGGCCGCTGTGAAGACAGCTGCCACCTCAGAGCCCGGGATGGCCTTCTGTGAGATCTGGAAGCCTATCAGAGACCATACGAGGCCAATTGCGAGCAATGCCCCAGGCCAGGCCCTCACCTGCAACCCCACCCTTCCCAGCTGCCCACTGGACCAGGGAGCCCCAGGGTCCAGCACAGAAATGGGGACCCGAAGCTCCAAGGTGCCTGAATCTGACCTGGGGCTCAGGACGAACTGTCCGCCTCTCTCAGAGCTCAGCACTGACCTTCACTGGCCCGTGGATGTCAAGACTGCTAGACGTGCAGGGCAAGAGTTTAACACCCGACGTGGCCAGTGACCCGCAAGAGTGGGGTGTGGGCTTGGGCCCCCCTGCAGCCCAGCTTTGAAAGGAGTCAGCAGGGAGGGCACACCCACCAGGAGGAGGCTGATTGAAGCAGATGGGATCCCCCAAAGACCGCAGCAGCAGACACCCCGCTAACCTTGCCTTTCCGCTCAGAGAGCTTTTAAACGTCCTGGGTCAGCGTCCAGTGTCAGGGTGAAGAGCTGTTTTGTCTTTGTGACTGGGAGAAACCGAGTGACGGTTTCACCTCCACAGCTCCAGGCAGTGGGCAGCGCCCGAAATCAGAGTTAAGGCCAGGATGGACTTCATGGGCTCCCCGAAGTCTGCGGGACTAAGTGACAATTAGTTTGACCTGGGCCGGGTCTAGGCCTGGGAATGTCATTGGGAGAGGGTGAGGGACAGGACCCCTGCACCCCGGGCGCTGACTGAGAAGTGCTGGTGTGGCTGAGGCCCGTCAATATCCATTTGCGCTCTGTCAGAAGCAGTCCTCCCCCGGCACCAATGGACATCCGTCAGGACCACCTCCCTGCCACCCCAATCTCTGGGAAGCTTGATTGTTGTCTGGGAGGCGCTGGCTGCTGCCCCCCGCCCCCTCCTGCTCACTCACCACATCCATCCTCATTAGGCCCCGAGTCCAAAGCCCTGCGTGATGGTCCTCCCAGAGGACAGGGCTGTGCCCAGGGACCCCACCGGACTCTCCCGCAGAGCCTCAGGTGCTTCGCCGTGTGCCCACCCTGGCCTCCGCGCGGCCCTGACCCTCTCATGCTCTGCTGCCTGCTGGTGCCCCTTGGTGGAAGGAGCTGCTCCCCAGGGACCTCGCTGTTTCAGACACCGGGAGCCCTGGGGACCGAGGTAGACCAGCCAGCTCCTGTCTGGGAAAACGGAGATGGAGAAAAATCCTAAGGCCACCAGGGCTGAGACCGCTGGGGACCCTGTCCCCAGTCAGAGGCGCCTGCCCCAGTTTGGGGCCCGGCTGGTATGGGGTTTGGCAGGGAAAGGGCAGGGCTGTTTGGGGCCGTGGCTCTGTGCTGGCCTGGCCGGGGAAAGGGTTTGAGCCAGGGCCAGTGGAGGAGGCAGGCAGGGCGGGGTGCGAGTCTGGTGTCTCCAGGTGGGGCGGAGGCAGAGGCAAGGAGATGCAAGAGGAAGAGGAGGAGGAAAAGCGGGTGCCCTGCTGTCTCCCAGGCTGAGCTGCCAAGCTCCAGTCTTTGCGTCATCACTGACAGTGTCACCCTGTCGGGTCCTGTTCAGCGCCTGCAGCAGGAACCTGGCCTGCAATGGATTTGCCTCCCAGCTGCCCACCCTGCTCCAGTCCACGGCACCGCCCACTCCCCCTGCACCCAGAGAAACCAGGCTGGCACCCCATTCTGCCTGGCAGCCCCATCTGCCAGGTGTCCCCCAGCGCAGGGTCACCGGTTCAGATGTGCCTCTAATTGGCTCCACCGCAAGAGGAAGCGTCCCTCCTGCATCCCACTCCCCCACCCGAGCTCTCCAGGCAGCAGGAAAATCCAGTCCTTGCTTCAGAGAACTTCAAAGGAGCCTGGCGGTTCCGGGAGAGATGAAAGCTCCCAGGGGCTCCCGTACTGGGGACCTCCCTCTGGAGACAGAACGTGCACCCCCTGCTGGGCCTGGGGAATCAGGGCCCCAGGTTGACGCCTCGGGCCCAGCGACCCTGCACTCTGCCTAGCACACACACGCTGGGCACAGGGAGGGACGCCCGGAGGCCACATGTGCTAGCCACAACCAAGATGACCCTCGACCACACCATCACGTTCCCTCGGCCCGCCGGGCACGGAACGCTGGGCTCCTCGGGCACTTGGGAGCGCTCAGATTGTAAGTGAAAGGGATCACACACGTGAGACGCGCAGCCTGGCATTTGATAAGTGGCATCTCCCAACATGTATGCCAAGAGAGTCGGCAGGCAGTGGCTGCCAAGCCCGGAAAACACGGCAGGGTGCCAATCCCGGGGGACCATTTCCAGTCAAAAACAAGGAGAGGGGCCCGTTTCCTTCTGGGCTTGGCAGCTGGTTCTGAAGGGGGGGGGTGCTGGTTAGACCTGTTGGGGGGCGGTGCATGTCTAGAACACCCCACCTTTGCTACGACCCTGGGCAGGGACTCACGTCAGGGAAACTGAGGCTCAGAAGGGTTCCATGCATGCCCTCAGAAATTGGGAGCACTCCATCTGTGGGGTGTCTGCCGCTCTGCCTGCTCTCCAGGGCCCTGATTCTCTGCAGTCCTCCGCCAGCCCCCAGTCCCAGGTCCAGGACTCATGTAAGCTCTGGGGATTCAGGCAGTCAGAATTTACCAATGGGGAAACTGAGGCACAGAACAAGCAGCTTGGGAGCAGCAGGGACCCATGTCAACCTCCCAGTGCCTTGAGCCCAGATGTCCGTAGGCCCCGTGTAATGCTTGCTTTGCAGGCGAGAAACCGGAAATGTCATGTGGCCTTGGGCTCAGTCTGGGTAGAACCGACGTTGCTGGGTGACAGTCTGGTGCTTCTTGAGACACAGTCGGGAGGCTCGGTGTCCACTCTGGCTGGGCCTCGGGCCCCCCTTGTGGAATTCAGCCTTGTGTTTATGCGTGGTTCCACCCTCCTCTGCCTCCTCTGGCCTGGGGCTCAGACTCTGTGGGGGCTGCCTACCATGCTTCAGTCTCTCCATCTGCCAAATGGGCACAGCTCTTTCCCTGCAGGGCTGTGGCAGGAGGGTGCTGGCCTGGTACGGGGGGTGCGTTGGAACCAGCTGGGGTGCTCAGGATCCAGACCCCATGCTCCTGGGCAGGTGCGACCAGCTGGGCCTGCCGGGGTGGCCTGGCACAGCCCTGCCCGGGGTGCACTGAAAGCATGGGGCATCTCTGGCTTGTCCCCCAGCCCTGGTGGACACAGCTGGGCAGCCAGCACTCGGGGCTCAGCGGTCCTTCCTGCAGGACCATGTGGGCCTCAGTTCCCTTGGCAGAGCCCCTGGCAGCACTTCCGAGGCACGCCGGGGGGTGGGGTGGTGGCTGGCTTCTGAGACTCAGCACCGGGAAAACACGCTCCGTCTGTCTGCCCACGCGTGGCCGCGGCCCAGGAGGCTTCGAGACAGCCAATGTTTCTGCAGCCAGCATTTCCCAGCCTGAAGCCAAGGCGCTGCCAGGCGCTGGCCCCGAGCGTGGCGGCTGGGAGCGAACCCGTCCCTGTTGCCCTGCGCTGCTCTCCTCAGCCCTTTTGGCTAAGCAGGGGTCTGAGAGGCAGGAGGAGGGTGGCCACACCGGTCTTCTCTTCCTTGCTTCCCTCTTGCTGTCTTCCTGTCCAGCTGGTTGTGATGAAAGGCTTCTCTGCATGGTGACATCCAAATAGCCAGTGTCGCTGAAGTCCAGCCAGGCTCCAGCCACAGCTGTGTGCCTCCTGAGTCAGAAAAAGTGTCCCCATGGCCTGGGGACCCCAGAGACCACACTGCTGACCTGGGCCAGTGCAGCACTTGGCACATGTCAGGCCATGTGGCCACTGGGTGATTGAGCGGGTGATACGGACACCTCGGCCGGGGTGATCCCTCTCCTGGTGGCAGAACATCTTGGTGGCGATCAGAGGGTACAGAATCAAAGCCAACACCATGGGAGGTGTGGGGGGCTCCTTGGGTGTTTCAGGATGCCTCAGGGCAGAGAGGGACATGCGTGCGGAGATGGACAGGTGCATTTCCCTGGGTCACTGAAGCCTGGGTCATTGCATCTCCAGGTGAGCTGCCTTCGGGTCCCTGTTCAGCACCGCCCAGGTTGCAGGACCCGCACTGGCAGACGGTGGCTGTGTCTCGGGTCTCCACAGGAATGTCACTGCCTCCTCAGTGTCCTTTCCTGAGTGACCTGGAAGGCCAGGGACTGGGTGTCCTGGGAGGCCCTGGGACAGGGTCACTGTCGCCATTGAGCAGCACCTGGGTGGGCCACGGGACTGGCGGGGTGATGCTGGTGACCAGTACCTAACCGGGAGGGCAGCGGGGAAGGGGTTGGATCCTGCCGCCAGCGCCCTGGGCCTTGGGCTGGAAGCTGAGGCTCTGGAAGTTTGGCCCTGGACACATTCTGGAAGGCTTCGGTCCCGCCAAGCCTTCCTGGCGGTGCCCGCTGGGCACCCTTGCACCTGGCCTGCCCCACCCCAGCCCCGCTGGGCACGGTCACCTGGAAGGGTGGTGCTGCCCACCCCCCCTCCACACTCCCGGGGGGCCCCCTGTCTGGTGTGGACTGTTTTCTGGGGTTCATGCCCCACCCTCCCCTTCCGCTTAGCAGCAGGACAGACACTAAAAGGTTGGCGGAAACGAGCCTGGTTCATCCACGCCCTGGTCCTGGAAAGCTGGGCTTTCCCCTGAGGGTGAGGAGAGGGTCTGGGAGGACTGAGCGGTGGCACTGCAGGTAGGCAGGGGCCCAGCACCTGCCCTCCTCCAGGGCCAACCTCCAACCCTCTGGAAGTTGGGCCCACTGGGAAGCCTGTTCTCCCAACCCAGAACTGGGCTGCTTCCTATTGGGCCAGAACACCGTGAGGCCAGAATGTTGACCTCGGGCCTCCTGACTCAGTTTCCCCAGCCAACACCTGGTACTGAGACACTCTGCATAAGGTGTGCAGGAATGGAAGAGGCTCCTGGCTGTCTGGGCAGGATGGTACACACCTGCAGTCCCAGCACTCTGGGAGGCTGAGGCAGGAGGATCATGCATTGGAAACAATGTAGCTGGCATTTCCTGACCACCACTGCACACCTGGCTCTGAGCTCCAAGCTCCTCCTCTAATTCCATTTTACAGATGAGGACGCTGAGGGTCTTTGATGGGGAGCAACTCGCCATTAGCACTCTGGTACCCTAGTGTACCTCAGCCGGGGCCCCCAGGGCGGGGCCAGCAGCCTCCAGTGTCAGCTGTGCCAAGGATCCAGCCTCGCTCCTCAGTGCAGCCTCACCCCTCCTGGGGGAGCCCCACTGCTGCCTGCGCTGCTGCCCGGCTAAGCCTTTCAGAGGGCGGCACGTGCTCAGGGTCCCAATCGCTGCCGTCAATAGACTCCCAGAGCCTCTTAGATCTCTGAGCAGCTGATCGAATTTCCTTTGCCCAGGCTGTCCCTCATGGGGACTTGGAAATTTCAGGGCTGGGCCGACAGAGGAAGAAAATCGAGGTGTCATCCCCCCACCCCAGCTCCGACGTCACAGCGGCCCAGAGGCCCAGGACTAATGTGTCCCCAGGGACTCGGTGTCTCTGCTCAGCACTGGGTGGGGCACTAGCGATTCTGAGCCGCTGGATCCGGGCTGGTTAGTAAGGACAGTGGTGGCTAGCGAGCTCTGTGCAGAGGAGGCCGACGGGCAGGTGGAGGGAGCAGGGAACGCTTGTTAGCTTGTTAGAGAGGCGGGCCGAGGGCTGTCAGCTCTGCAGGCCCCTTGGCTCTGCCCGGCTGGGGCCGGCCAGCGGGGGCCTTATTTCAAAGCAATTTAACTGATGGGATTCTGGGCTCCCAAACCAGGAGTGTTATTAAAAGGATGTGCAGAGGCAGCTGGCTGGCTCGTCAGTGCCCGAGTCATACCCCAGCCCACAGTGGACGCCTGTCCCCCCCACCCCCTGAGAAGCAGCTTGCACTTGGGGCTCCCAGGTGTCCCCTATCTGGAACTATCTGAGATGGGACCCTGGAAGCCAAGCCTAAGCAGGGGTGGCTGTTTAGGAATTTGAGAATAGGGCCAGCTCTGGTGGTGCCCGACTGTAACCCCAGCATTCTGGGAGGCTGAGGCAGGAGGATCTCGTTTGCACTTAGCCTGAGCAGTTGAGCAATTTAGCAGGCCCCTGTCTCAGAAAAACAGGGCTGGAGATGCAGCTGAGTGCAGAGGCCCAGTAACACACTCACACGCACATGTGCCTGTGTGCCTGCGCACACACAAAGCAAAACTCCACCCACAGGAAAAGCTCTGTTCTGTTTCATTGTTGACGGAAGGAATTGTGTCAGGACTCTTACCCTTCTTCCTTTCTCCACACCGGGGAAACTGAGGCCCAGTGCAAGGAAGGGCCCAGCCACTGTGGCGGGCAACCGAGGTGCCCTGGAGGCCAGTGTCCTCCAGTCCATGAAGGTCCCAAGAGTGGAGCATGGTGGGAAGCTCTGACAGTCACCCAGTCCCGCCCCAGCCACCAGGCTGCTCTGGAGCCGGGGCTGGGGGCCATGCAGGGGGCTGGGGGGCCAGGGGGGGCTGGTCAGGAGCGGGGTGAGGGCATCCTCAGGGTGAGCCTGGTCCAGGGGGCAGGTGGACGCCAGCCTCCCCGTCCTGTCCCCGCAGGTGTTCCAGCGCCGTGAGGACGGCTCCGTGAACTTCTTCCGGGGCTGGGACGCATATCGGGAGGGCTTCGGCAAGCTCACAGGGGAGCACTGGCTAGGTGAGAGCCCCTTCCCACACCCCACTGTCCCCTGGGGGGTTTCATTGTACTCTGTCTGAGCAGAGGGCATCCAGCTTCCCTGGCCTCATGTGAAGGTGACCTGGTCATCCTGAGTGCAGGGCCATGAGGACGAGGCCAGAGGAGGCGCGGGCAGTGTAGTGGGCCTGGCGGGCATGGACATCCTGCACCTGGTCACTGTCCTGGACCTTGAGCTGAAGTAGGTGCAGGCAGTGTCTCAGGCCCTGGGGGCCAAGGCCAGCTGGGCACTGGCTGCCCTTGGGGTCAGTGAGGCTGCCTGCAGCCCCAGAGCTCAGCAGGATTGTGGCCTGGGCCACACCCTGAGGGCCCCGAAGGCCCCGTGAGTGCTGTTATCCCCCAGCGGTCACCTGCCTGGAGGGTCTGCACTCCGGCTCTGGCTCGAGGGACTCCAAGCTCGGGCCATGTCACTGTGTTCAGGAGGTGGCCGTGGCTGTGGCGCTGCTCTGCCATGTGGAGATGTGACTCACACACAGCGTGGTGACCGGCCATGGTGGACACTGCCTCCAAGCTCTCCAGGCGTCACCACTAACTCCAGAACTGGTTTTAGCTGGAAAAGAAATGGGTCCTGCACTCGTCCTGCACCCAGCCTGGCCACCTCTGCTGGTCTGCGGACTGAGGCTGCGCTCCCATCTGGTCACCAGGTCCTCTGCCCACCTGAGCACCCTGGTAGTGCTTATCAGCTGGGGCCGTGGGATCTCCCCCAGGCAAAGATGCCCCAGGAGGGCGCATGCTCGCTGTGGACACACGCCCATCCGCACACCAGCGGTTGCTCTGTTTACACATTTGTCATACATCGCCAGTGTCTCGTGCATCCTGGGTGCCTTTCCTGGTGTGGGGAGCTGGCAGTGTGGGCAGGGAGCCCTGTGGTACAGTCACCTCCAGAAGGGCCAGAAGCCAGGTCTGGTGCCAGGTGAGGTCCTGAGTCCCAAAATACACCATCGAGGCCGTGAGCACCAGAGGCAGGGTGGAGGGGCGAGGCACCCACTCTCCGTGGGCACAGAGGTGTGTCTGTGCTGTCCCGAACATCTAGCTGCCCCCTGCCTGGGTCCCCGGAGGGCAGGATTTGCCCTTCCTGGGCTCAGTGCTGGAGAGGGGCTGCCTGAAGGGGGGGACCCACTGTGAAGCTGTGCCCCTCGTTGCCTGGTGGACCTGCTGAGCACCCAGCCCTGTGTCCTGCAGATGTCCGGTCCCTGAAATCTCACCCCTGCTCCTTGGAGGGTGGACATGATGTCCCTGGCATGTGTTGGGGGGTGGGCAGGCTTCCTGCAGGGCTCCTGCCTTGGTGACAGCAGCTTTGAACCAAGCCCTAGAGGAGTGGGATGGGGAGACCCCCCTGCTTGGCCCCCACCCAGTGGTGCTGGGGGAGGAGAGGGTGGCCAGGTGGGGGCTAGGGCCATGTGTGGCCGCCCACCCACCCCCTGCTGTGGCTTGGTGCCACATCTCAATTGAAATCTATCTGTAGCGGCCCAAGGCAGGAGGAAGCACTCCCGGGCGCCCTGACAGGAATGTCAACGCTGGGTGGCAGCCCCCCTCCCCGTTCCCCATGCCCACCACCTCCCCACACAGGCGTTTTCTTTTCCTATTGCACTTTGGGAGCTCTTTATATATTAAGGTTATTGATCCTTTGTCCGACGCCGGGGATAATCTGTCCTCCAGCGCTGCTGCTGTTGTCTCCTTAGAAGTTTTAAATTTTTATGGAGTCTTTTCTGCCAGCCTTTCTCTCCCTCTCTCTGGGTTTCGGGCCTGACTCCACCCCCGGGTTGGCAAACGTTTCCCTAAGTGTTTTGCTTGGCTTTTCTCCTGTTAGTGTTTTAGGTTGGGCTCTTGAATCTACCTTCGAGTTCGCTGATGGACTGTGTGAGGCTGGGGGGTAATGGGGGTTCTCCTCGCCACCTCCTTGTCCCTTGGCCACTGGGACTTGCACTGAGGGGACAGTGAGCTGCATGGAGTGGTCCCAGAGCTGGCAGAAGTCCCTGGGGGGTCAGCGGGGGCTGGAGAAGCCCAGAGAGCCAAGATAGAAGGAATTGGGGGGAAGATGTGTCCACTGCAGGATGGGTGGGGACCACATGTCCCCAGGAAGGTGCACGCCAAGCCCAGTGTGGCTAACAGGAGGAGTGGACACTCCCGGTGGGTCCTCAGGTGACCTGCAGTGGTGCAGGAGGGAATCGTCTCCCTCTGTTTGTTCCCAGATCATGAGATTTGTCCCAGCAAGGTCTGGCTAAGCGCCTGGGTTTGAATCCACTGGGCAGCTCTGCCGCTGAATAGCTGTGTCACCTGGGCTGGTGCCCTAGCCTCCCTGGGCCCTTGTCATCATTGGGGTGATGGGGTGGTGATGGCACCTGCAAATACCTGGGTGTGTGAGCGGCTGCAGGCTCCCTGCCGCACATCCACTGGGGTTGCTCAGCAGATGGGCAGTGCCCGAGACCGGGAGAGACTGACTTCTAGGGGACAGGGAGGTGGGGACCCAGGAGACCCCGTGCGTGCTCCCCTCATCCTCAGGGCTGATGCAGGGGTGCTGTCTGGTCCCTGTGGCATTGTCCTAGCTTCTCCCACAGTTGCTTCTGTGGGCCTTGGCCCTGGATGAAAAGCCACAGTCCTGGGTCGGCAGGGGTGCGTGTGTCCTGCCTTCCTGCCCTGGTGGCCCCTGGGGCTGATGCAGGGCGGGCTGGGGGAGGCTGATAAAATGTCACTGCTGCTGCTATTAATTAGTTAAATGCTGTCTTCACCAGGAGCTAATCACAGATGCAGGGAAGCCATGAGTGTGTGACCCGGGAGAGGTGGAGGGGAGGGAAGGCAGGGAGGTGGGCGGCGTGTGGCTGAGGTGCAGAGCCAGGCCCCGGGACAGGAGCCACAGGCACTGTCTTCCGCCTCTGTCCATCAGGCGGAGCCGCAGGGGGACAGGTGGCAGGGGTGTCGAGCTTGTCACAGGAGGCAGAAACCCTGAAGGTGACCAGGCGAGGAGCAGGGACAGGTGTCCCAGCAGTGTGGGGGCCCGGCTGGGAAGTGGGTACCAGACCCAGCACCTGACTCCCACTCCTTCCCTGACACCCCAATCTTTCCACGGGCTGCCAGCTCAAACCTCAGCATTTGAAAAGCACAGCCCAACCCAGAGTAAAGGCAAACAGGAAGACGGGTCCGATGGCCTCTGGCTTCCTGCAGAACAGACCTGCAGGGAGGTGGTGGTGGCCCGGCGGCCAGCGCACACTTGGTCGCTGTGGCCCGAACACGATCTCGGCCCCCATTTCCCCGCCGTCCTCTCTAGGGGTCGCTGCCTCCGCCACTTCTCCGGCCCCCTCTCCCTCGCTCCAGGGCTCAAGAGGATCCACGCGCTGACCACGCAGGCCGCCTATGAGCTGCACGTGGACCTGGAGGACTTCGACAACGGCACGGCCTTTGCCCGCTACGGGAGCTTCGGCGTGGGCTTGTTCTCGGTGGACCCCGAGGAGGACGGGTACCCGCTCACTGTGGCCGAGTACTCGGGCACCGCAGGTAGGGAGAACGGGCTGGGTGGGGGTGCTCCCAGGGCGAGCCCTGTGGCCCCGGGGTCAGCACGGCCCCCACCTCCAGCCCCACGTGGCCCCACCCTGCCACTCAAAGGCAGCAGCACAGTCAGGACCCTGCGCCCAGCCTGCAGATGAGGAAACAGAGGCCGGAAGCGGAAGGCGGCAATGCAGGGGCAGGGAGCGGGCGCCCGGGCCAGGGTCGGAGCGGGGCCACAGTGGTGGCGGCGTGCGCGTGGCCGCAGGGCTCGCCCGTGGGGAGCGGGTCGCACTCAGGGCCCCCCGCCCGCGCCCGCAGGCGACTCCCTCCTGAAGCACAGCGGCATGCGGTTCACCACCAAGGACCGCGACGGCGACCACTCGGACAACAACTGCGCCGCCTTCTACCGCGGCGCCTGGTGGTACCGCAACTGCCACACGTCCAACCTGAACGGCCAGTACCTGCGCGGCGCGCACGCCTCCTACGCCGACGGCGTCGAGTGGTCCTCTTGGACCGGCTGGCAGTACTCGCTCAAGTTCTCCGAGATGAAGATCCGGCCGGTCCGGGAGGACCGCTAGGCGGCACTGCTGCCCCGCCCCGCCCGAGGACACCGCCCGCCCGAGGACACCGCCCGCCCGCGCATGGCCACCCCGCCCCGCCGCGGCCCCGCTGACAGCTGCTTGCGCCCCGCTCTCCGCGCTGCTGATCTGGGCACCCCTGGGCAGCGCCACTGGCACAACCGCTTCGCCTGCCCAAACGCCTGGCCTCTCCCGGGGCTCTCGTGGAAGCTCAGCGCGGGCTGGCGTGGCTCTGAGGCCACCCCACCTCCGGGACCCCGACTCTTCGCCGAAGACCTCGCCCCACTCGGGGACCAGGTTGTGCCCGCGCTGTCCCCCGTCTGCTGTACCCAGGCACCACCGGGGTCCACCCCGGGTCCTGCCAGCCCAGCCCCTCCTGCCGGCCCTGCTTCTCCCGCCAGGGGGCTGCGCGAAGCCTGCACGGTGGTCTGGGCAGACAACCTCTCGGTTTCCTGGGCTGGGGCTGGGGCTGAGCGCTCTCCCCCCACACCTTTCCCTTCGCTCTTCCCACATCGACCTTCGTGCCTCAGGCTCCCGAGGCCTTCTGGGAGCACAGCCTGGTGAGGGGAGCAGTAAGAACCCCCCCACTCCCACATCCGTCAAGGTCTGCTTGTCTGCAGGGTGCTGCCCCCTGCCGGCGACCGTAGGCAATGCTCCTTGGGCCTAGCCTTGCTGACCACAGAGAGGGAGAGACTGAGGCCAGGAACAGCCTGCTCGGAGCTGGACATCCATGTGTTTGCCACAGAGACCTTTGAGAAGGCCTGGCTGCCAGCCCGGAGCCCGTCCAGGTGGTGGCTGCACCCGGGAACCCCCCGTGGGCAGGATGAGCAGGGGGCAGGAAAGTGGGGCGTGGGTTCTTTTTTCCTGAAAGGCCTAGATGGCCCTCGGTGAGTGGCTCCAGACTGGTAGCCTCCCACATGGCACCCAGCTTGGGGCCGAGGTGCCACAAGCAGGTGACTCCAGCCCAGAGTGACCGGGGTGGTGTGGAAGAGCTGCCCAGGGTGGGGAGGAGGCCAGGGAAAGGTACCAGCCGTGCAGGGAAGCGAACCCAGGCAGCCGGCTCGCCAGGACACTGGCACACTGCCGAGGCCTGGTGGAAGCCGACTCCCGCGGGCTGGGGTCGCATCTGTGCCAGCGCCGTTCAGGGTACCCAGCGCCTTCTGCTGTGCCATGAAGTGAACACCCATCGGTGCAGGGTTGACAGAGTTGCTGATGCCTGCATCTGGTGGGAGACTGGGCCCTTGTGCCAGGCAGACATCTGGAGCTCAGCACAGTTGGGGGACAGGGCAGAGGACAGGGGTCAGGTGAGGGTGGCCTTAGCAGCCTGAGGGCCAGGTTAGCTGCATGTGTCAGCCAGTCCATGCCCAAAAGCCCAAGGCCAGGGTTGGCACCACTAGGGGATGTGGCCCTGCCAGGCACTGGCTGAGTGGGCACAAAGCCAGGTGTCCACAGAGGTTACCAGACTCCAGCCCCAGTTCGATGCAAGGTGGCGGGGTCCCTGTGGCCTGCCGTGTCCCCATGGAGCTTCCACTCTTTCCCTTGGGTGAGGGAAGGGAGCTGCGTGAGGAGGGGTCTCCGTTTTCCTTGACCCTGGTTCCGGCAGGGACCACCCCACCCAGCAGGAGCAGGCTCTGTGACAGCTGGGGACCTCATTTCTGGCCCCTGAATACCAGTCACATTTCTGGGACTTCTGCCAAGGCCATCCCAATGGTTTCCCGAGCCCTCAGCCTTCTGACTGAACCTACGTATCCTCCCTGGCGGCCTTGGCACCATCGGCAAGAAGCAAAGACCCTGCTGAGAGCCCATCTCTGGCTGAGTCACCTCTACCTGGTTGCGTGTCATTCGGGTTTCTAACGCCACCCTCATGGGGGCAGTGACATTGCTGGCGCCACCTCCTCCTGGCACCCACCCTCATCCACATGGGTTTGGCTGGGGCTGGAGCCCTGCTCACCCAAAAGCACGTCTCATCTCGGGCAGAGATTTGGAGGATTAGTGAGCCGGCCCAGCAGTGTGACATGAACCGCCAGCACATCTGCAGAGCCAAGAGGACTCAGGTTCCCAGGCAGAGGAAGGAGGCGGGGCCTCAGGACAGCCAGGGCCTGCTGCCAGCCATGGACCCTGTGCTGCAGCCGGAGCAGCAGATGCTGGCAGGGCCTTGCAGAGCTCCCACAGGGGACAGCACCCCAGACCTCAGTTTCTCCATCTGTCTGCAGAAAGGATGGAGGCCCAGCCTCTGGGATTGGGGCATGCGGCAGAGGGGTCAGGGCAGCCTCAGCATGCCTGGTGACCGCTGGGGTGAGGGGTCCCGGGGCTAGGGAGGGGCATGGGGTGGGATGGTCACCCGCTGGGCTGTGTGCACTTAGTGTCCGTGTGTTCCTGTCTCCAATAAAGTCTCGTGGTGACCCAGCTCTGGCTTCAGTCTCCAGCCCAGCTCTGTGTCCCACGTCATGGCATGGGTGGGTCTGATGCCAGGGGACAGCATTTCTCAGGGCCAGGGGCTTCCTGCTCAAGGCCTTGGTGCTGAGATGAGCCTGGGCCTGGCCAGCAGGTGACAGGGTTCTTCCTGGCTCCTAGTCTACGGTGACCCCCCTACCAGGCTGGGCTTGGGGGGCCTGGGCTTGCCGCATCCATGTGTCCCCTTGGTGGCATCCCTAGGGAGATGAATTGTCCCTGCGGGTCTGGCCTGGGCCGGGGATCAGGGAGTTCTCTCGGGAACTAATGGTGCCTAATAGCTCTTTACTCACAAAACTCATCTGCGCTTACAGGAAAGCCAGGGCCTGGCTTGCTTTACCAGAACGTGTGGTTCCTAGCACTTGTGCTGGGGCCCGGGGAGGAGCAGGGTGCAGGCGGCTGGGGAGGGGTCCTCACATCCCCTGTCCGGGTTCACAGACCCCAGCCTAGGTGACCCCTGGCAATGCCCTTACCCACACAGGCACCAGGCCTGCCAACTGGGACAGCCCATGCTGGGACACGGCCGGGGGGAACAGGGCTGGAGATATAGGGGGTGGGACCTCTGCACCAGTCACAGACGTTACGAAGGTGATCGTAGGCACTGCCTGTCCTTGAGGCAGTGCCCTCGGTGGCCGGCTTGACTCCATGGAGTTCTCAGAGCAGAGGAGGCTCCTACTGGCAGTGCCCAGGTGACAGGTGGCCTCCTTCCCTCTCCACTGGCTCCCCCTAATGGCAGCCGCAGGGAACGGGGGTAGGGGCTGGCTGGTTATGGCTCCTTCACTTTGTGGGTGCCACAGATGGAGAAACTGAGGCTGGGGCTGGGGATTTAGCTCAGCAGCATAAACATCTGCCTGTCAAGCAGGCGGTCGTGAGTTCAATCCCTGGTACTGAGGCTGAGGAAGGCATGTGTCTGCCCAAGTGGAGGTGCCTGATGCTGGGGCTCAGTGGCTAAATGGGGTAGGGCGGGGGTCAGGCTGGGTTCCCAGCCTGCTGTCGTCCAGCTGCTCCCACACTCAGGCTTCCACATTTGAGAATGGAGGACCGGAAGTGAGGTGGCTCCCAGGATGAGCTGCCCGCTGGCTCCTGCCCACACCACTGCCTGTACCACTCAGCTCTCACGCTGCGTGCCCACATTGACCTCCGCATAGCGCCCCCCTCTGCTGGTTGTCACCCTTGTTGTCATCCCCTTCCCCATGTCTCCAGGGCTGGTGAGGCCCAGATGCTGGACGGGCCCCGCAGAGCATAGGAAGGCAGCCTTTTGGGGACATGGACAGGGCCTGAGTGGGAACATTTGTCACCACATCCAGCACCTGAGTTGGCTCTGGGCACCTCTAAGCAGGGGCAGAGTGGGGCTGGTGTGGACCTGAGGCTAGGCTGAGGGGAACCAAGAGGTCCCCCCACCCAGAGATTGCCCTAATCCCAAACCGGCAGCCAACAGGTGGGCTTCCTGAGCTGCAGGTGAAGCCTGACAGGTCCTGTGGGGCAGGCTCGGGCGGGGTGGCCCCCCAGGAAAGCAGGGGTGGCGCTGTCACCAGCCAGGCTGTGCGCTCCCTCCTGGTCTCCCAGCTTCACCTCGGTCCCTAACCCATGACACGTACTCTGCTCCCCTCTGCCTGGGAGGGCGGGAGTTGATGACCACGTCACCTGTGTCATACCTTTGCCATGGTCCTCACTGGCTAATTCCCTCACTGGGGACCCATCACTGCGGCCCCGAGACCCTCAGGGGTGTCTCAGAAGGTGTCTTAGAGGGCACAGTGCCCATGGCGCAGTGGGCGTGAGGAGCTGGGCTGAGGGGCAGGAAAGGCAGGGCATGCTGTGTAAGTGACAAGCCCACTGCAGTACTGAGGCCAGCTGAGGGTGGCTCCCCTGTCCTCTCTCGAAAGCCAGGGCTCGCTTACCTGACCCAGCCTCTCCCGGGGCTCCGCAGTAGCAGGGACACAGCCTGCAGCCTTCCTGCAAAGGGGACCGGCGGTCGCTGGCTGCACCCGCTCTGCGACTTCCCGGCCCATGTGCAAGTCCTGCCCGGGTGGCGGGGCCGTAAGTGTGCATGGTGTGGGCGCCCACCCAGCCTGCAGCCTCTCTGGGGAGCGAGGCCGGCCAGACAAAGGCGAGACTGTCAAGGTATTAATGGGCCTCCGCGTCCACCCGGGGCCAGGGGCTTGTGCCCACAGCTCGCGGCTAATGATGCCGCCACGCTCCTCAAAGGGCAGAGTCTGCCCTCTCATCAGACCACATCCTGTTTGTGCTGGGTCCTTATTGTGCTGCCAGCACTGCCCCTTCTGTCACCACCAACATCCCCAAAGGGATCCCAGGGTCAGGAATGCACAGCAATCAGCCAGCGGGGGGGACGGGGTGGGGGCGGAGGGGGGCTCTGGGACGCCCAGAGCCTACATAAGCAGGGTGCAGCCAGGAGCCACACCTCCCGGACAAGGATCCGTGTAGCTCCAGCCAGTGCGGGCACCCAGCCCAGGCCTCCGCCTGCCCTCTGGAGCCCGTCTGCCACACAGTGAGTCCTCCCCAGTCCAAGCAGGTGCTCAGGCTTGGGCCCTGCAGGCAGAGGGTCCATGGAGCCACGTATGGGGCAGGCTAGAGCTGGAAAGGGGAGGCCGAACGGCATCCTGCCCATGGTGCCAGCAACCCAGGGGCCACCACGGCCACTTCCTGCACGCTGGGGCCTTGTGATCATGGTCAAGGTCCCCATCTCTTGAGGATTCTTGAAAGGGTCAATGATCCCCTCGGGGAAGACAGGCCACTTCCTGTCCTGCATTAAGACGTGACATTCTAAGGGACCTGGAGGCCACCCCAGGTGTATTCATCCCTGAAGGTCCCTGGCCCACGCACCTCCTAGGAGGACGGGGTTGTCCCCCTTAGGAAACCACCACTCTATCCCCCAGGGAGGGGCACCCTGGCCCTGCTACAGCCCTGGGGAGAGCAGGATTTGGGAAGACTACGAGATGGCTGTATCATTTTGGAAGCTTTCTGGCTGAATTCCCTCCTTTGAAATGTTTCTGAGGAAGCTGTTTCTGGAAAGAGTTCTTCTCCAGGGCTGGCTTCTCTATGCCAGCTTTGGTGGGAGGACGAGCCGGCCCAGCTCCCCGAGGTCATTACTAAACGGGCTCCTTTACACGGCACGGGAGCTGTTATGGCCACAGCAGGGCCCTGCTGGGAGCTCCAGCTCCTTTTCTGGGCCCCCAGGCTGTCATTCGTGGTGCACAGGAGTCACCAGCCTGCTTAGACCTGACGAGCTGGGGGTACACTGTGTGAGGGAGGTGCCCGTGGGCCTGGCACCAGGCAGCTGTTAGTTCGGGTCTCTGCTGTCTGGCTGGTGGCCTGGCAGAAGCCCCCGCCCTTCCTGGTAATTTCCCGCCTAGAATGTGGACATGGCAGTGGCTATGGACAGGGTTTCCTGTGAAGGGGACCCGGAGCCTGGCATGTCCACTGTGTGCAGGGCATTGGCCATCTGCCATCTCCTCTTCCCAGCCACCAGGGCCACCAAGTGCACGAGCATCTCCCCGCTAACAGCTTGGCTGGAGCCACTCATTATCATGTTGGAAACAGAGACTGTCACCCTATGAGAGGATATAGCCCAAGAGTCAATACTGTCAGGGAGAGGAGAGGGAACCTCAATTCCCACTGCCTCCTGGGGACACCGGGCGCTCTGGCAGCTTTGGTATCACAGGGCTAGGAGAGCAAGGGGGTCGGATCAGAGGGGCAGGAGGGTGGCAGCCAGCCTCAGTGGCACCATCAGCTCCCAAGCCCGCTGGGGAATCAGAGGCTGCTCCTGCCCGTACTGCCCTGAAGCTAGGCCCAGCTGGGTTGACGCTCACCCTTCAATGGTGCCCAGGTGCCAGGGGTCCTGCTGGCTGCACACATGGCTTATAACTTGCTGTCTCTTTCCTCTGGCCAGATGAGGGGCCCCTCGTCCCTGCCCTACCTCCTCCTGCTCCTGCTGCTCGGCACCTGCTTGCCTCTGCTTGACCGAAGAGAGCCCCCGGCCGCTGTGGGAGCCGGGAGGAGCAGGGCCCACCTGGCTGAGGGGCACGGCACCCACTCTGTGTGGGGCCTGTCCCGTGGGCCAGGGGCCCTGCAGCCACAGGTCCTGCCCCTTGTGGCCAGGCTGCTGCAGGCCTTGGGTGTCGGGCACACCAGCCTCCGCCTTGCCAGGCAGGAGAGCAGCGAGACCAGCAGCTTCCTGCCTGCTGAGGGCAGTGAGAAGGCCACCAGCCCCCTGGGGAACCTGGCCGAGGAGCTCAACGGCTACAGCAGGAGGAAAGGCGGCTTCAGCTTCCGCTTTGGCCGGGGGTGACAGCCAGGGCACCCGGAGGGGTTGCCCGTGTGGACTCAGCCCCAGCCGTCTCCACTCGTCTCCAGCAGCCTCCGAGGAGACAGAGGACGGCGGCATTACCACAAAGCATCAGCAGTAGGCCTGTTAGGTGTGCGCTGTCTCTTGATTTTCAACTTTGCTGAAGCAAAAACAAAACTAAAAAATAAACCTAGCTGGTGTTGAAAAAGAAGGAAGCCAGAGCAAGCTGCGTGCTGGAGAAGATGACGAAGCTACGCGGTTCCTCCTGCCAACCTGTCTGTCCCCAGTGGTCTGGTGGGTGGCATAGCTGGCCCAAGGGTGCAGGGGCCATGCACATGGTCCGGCAGAGCCGGCTGTGCAGAATCCAGGCAAAGGCAGGCGGACGGGGCCAGCAGCACTGTGGGGTCGCCTGAGTTGTGACCTTCTCCTCGGGGACTCCTGCAGCAGCTGGGTGGGGTGTGTTTGGTGGCACACGGTTTGGATCTGATGATCAAAAACCAAAAAGAGTCGAGCCAGTAAACAACTGGCCTCCTTCTCCAGCCCATTAATACCAGAGCCCTCTGGCAAGAAGCCTCTGCAGCAGCACAGGGCTGCCCCCGGGCCGCTGCCCAGCCTGACGGCCGCGGTGCGTCTGCGTAGTGAGCGCGGTGTCTGCCGAGCCCAGGGCTCCCTGGAGATGAGCTGGGAAGGGGTGGGATTTTGCTCCAGCAAGGTTGCATTCAAATGTTCATGGTATGAGTGTGCTGTGTGTATCTTTTGGAATAAAAGTTGTAGCAACTGCAAAAATCATAATAGGATGCTGGCGTCTTCCCTCCAGGTCTTCTGGGCCCTGGAAACTTCCTTTTCCTGAGCTGTGAGTTCCTTTGCTTCGGGGAGATGGAAATCACGCTGCCTGTGCCCGCACACCTTAATTGGCAGCCGGTCAAAGGTACGGCAGACACCGTGCAGGCTGTTTCCTCCCACACCTGGCTGCTCCTTCCCAATTTCTTCAGGATAAGGGGCATTAGGGAGGCACATCTGCGCCGTGGGAGAGGGGTGCTCAGCCCCAAACAGCTGCAGACCCGGGGCCAGGCCCGCGGCCCTTGCGCCCCTCCTGTGTCAGACGTGCCCATCAGAAGCCTCTCCCTCCCGGGCTGGCTACCACTGCTGAGACGAGAACTTATATTGATGTTTCTATGGCAACATCTCCCCTCCTCCTTTTGAGCCATGACTCGCCCCTGTTCACAATTGAATAATTTTCCATTGAGCTGTCACAATTAATTGGCGGATTTTTATTAGGCTTTTAGAACCACACTGGGTCGGGCCCAGCTTGGCACCTCGAAGCATTTCAACGTTTCCCATTCTGTTAGCGACTTTCACTCCCCAGGAGCAGCTTGCAGTCCTCAGGAACCAGAAAGCCACTTCATTAAGGCGACAGATCTGAGCCGCGCAGGAGCCCCGCAGGCTGGGAGGAGGGACGGGTGGTGGGGCGCGGGAGAGCAGCCCGCGAGCGCCCCCTCGTGGCTGTAGCACGCCGCCCGCCCACGCAGACACAGGCGCCCTCGCTGTGGGCAGCTGGGACACCGGCCTGGGAGGCGCATCCTTCACCACGTGAAGAAGAGGGGTTCAGCCTCCTCCTGCCAAGGAAGCCGTGAGCTCCTGGCCATGTGCAGGCCGCCTGCGGCCCTGGGACCGGTGTCACCGGCGGACAGGAGGAGGTAAGGGGGCGCTGCCCCATTCCTGCACTCCATGGCTGTCTTGGTGCTCGCTGCAGGCTGCAGGATCAAGCCTTCCCTCAGCGCCTCCACATGCATGCAGCAGCCAGGGCACAGGTGAGACACCGCAGACCCAAGGCCAAGGCAGGGGGACGCCCTGGAGGCAGGTCCCTGGCCAACCTCCCTCAGTCTTAGACACCTGCCGGTGGTCACCAGTCCGGAGGACTTGGAGCAGAGCCAGCTGGGCCAGCCTGCCTAGCTTCAGGCACTCTGGGTGAGCAACAGCAGGTGCCTAATTTAGCAAGATTAGATTAACCTCGATGGGGAGGCCTGGGAGAAAGGGAGGAAAAGAGGAGGCCAGCAAAGGGCCCTTTTGTCATTAAAAAAAAAAAAAACAAAACAAAACAAAAAAAACCCCAGCAAAGCTTTGCTTGTACATTCGAGCTCAATAACCCTGAACATCAGAACACTGAGACTGCAGAGCGCACTGGTCTGTTGAATCAGCTCCCACTGAATCTGGCTGAAGTTTGTCTCACCCCTGTCCTGCTGTCCAGCCCAGGCTCGTGCAAGGTCCTGGGTGGTCTTGCCACTCTGGCCACCCCTGATCTCTCCTTGCTGAGGGTTACTCAAGGCCAGGATGGCAAAGGTAAAACAGTTTGGAAAGCGTTTATGAGGTCTGACTGAAAAAAATAGTGAGTGCTACAAGTTTTCAAAACATGACAGTGAAAGACACATACTCTGCTTTGGTCCTGGGGGTTGAACTCACCACTTACCCTTGCCTGGCAGGGACGTCTGCTGCTGAGCGAAGTCCCCGGGTTCCCTCTTCCTTGGAACACACTCAGCCCCTGGTCCCTGCCCTGCTGCAGCAGCTCTGGTGTCCTCTTTCGTGAGTGTCTGCAGCTGCACTGCACTGGCTCCCTCCAAGTCCCCCCACACTGATTCAGAACAGTTCCCTTTACGGTCATTTTGCCTTTGAGGAAGAACTGGAAGCCATGGGGTGCCAGGTCTGGGTTATACAGTGGAGGAGGACCCGCCACGATGTCTTCATGAGCCTGCACTGCTGTTGGCTGGCCCTCAGCCAGGTCACCTCAGGAAAGAGCACTCCAGAGCTGCTGCGGAAAGCGGCCAGGACAGTGGGATGAGCAGTGTGTCCACAGCCAGGGAGAAGTCTGAGGGGAGGCGTGGCAATCTGGCTTTTACCGTAATGGCTTGTTTAAACGCTTGCCACGCATTCTGATCACACATCTGCAGCAGAGACTGGACCTCCGGGAGTGCCCAGCTCGCTCTGCCCAGCTTCTGCCTGGCTGCTTCTGCTCCCCAAGCCCTGCACCCCGAGTGCTGCCCACAGCTCTTTGCTGTGCTTACCCAAGACATGGAAGAAGCTTCCTCTAGGCAGGTGCATCTAAGTGTATCTAGCTGTTTGCATGGGTGGAAAACACTGTTTGTCTGCATTTTCCTGTGCGCCTGAAATATTAAGATGCTTTAAAAAAGGGCTCCTAGGGCAGCTGCTGTACGAACTGGAGGAGGTGCCTCACCCTGGCTGTGCTCTAGTGCCCAGGACGTTACAGGGCAGACTCCATGGCCCGAAGATGGGACTTGTGGGCACCGGGCTGCAGGGGCACTGGCTCAGCAGGGCCCCTGGGGTGAGGATGCTGCCTAGGTTCAGTACCACTAGGGGCCACGTGGTCCATGTGTTCTGCACGGGGTTGGGGTAGGACGAAAAGCCCCCTGGAGCTATAGTGTGGGCAAAAATGTGCATTTTCCGGAACCGACAGTCATAGGTTCCAGGATGGCTAAGCGCTTTCAAGAAGGGTTAAGAACCACTGTCCTGATCAGCCAGACTAAACTAAGCCCCCCGAGCCCGGGCAACACATGGTGGGCCCTTATCTGGGAACCAAGGTGCCAGGTCTCACCCACTGGAGCAGACTCACATGACCTTGATGCTGAACATGGAGGACATGGGTGACAACACACCTCCCTGGCTACTTCGTGGACCTGTTAACAGTCCGCTCGACACAGGAGGAAGCTGCTGGCTTCTCCAGATGTGGCCCAGAGCCCAAGGGACAACAGTTCCAGGCGCTCCCTGTCCCCTTTTGGCATCAGGGAAAGAGTGCAGGGCATCTGCGCCCGGAGCTGCCCGAGGGGTTGCTGTAAGCTCTGCCCATGCGTGGGGAGCAGGATTTGCACCCTCCAGTCGGGGGAGCTCTGAGCTTTCCTTTCCACGCAACTTCCGCCTCAGGGGACAGCAGCTTGGACTGCGTAAAGGCCCTCGGTCCCTGGAGGTTGGACACCTCTGCTCCTGTCCACAGTGAGAAACACTCCTGGCACATGGAACATGAGCGAGGGGTGCTCTGGAGCCCAGGAAGGACTTCACCCAGCCAGTATGGACCATGGGCTGTCAACTTCCTCCCTTCAGTGGTGATACAGACGGGCACTGGGGACACAGAAGGACCCGAGAGCAGCGCAGCTCACAGCATAGCCAGGGTCACAGATGGCCTTGGCCCTGGGTGTGAATGTCCTTGTGGCCACATACCCTCATTCTGCCTTGTGTGCCCAAATACTGGACCTCAGCCCCTCAATAACCCCCAGATCACTTCCTCCCCTCCTCCACCCACAGGCAACGGCTTGCGAGGAAACTGACCAGTGCAATCTGCCAGTCATTTTGTAAACACTTATTTATTTAAAAAATACTACAGAGGAGAGATCTGGATTCAAAAAACACGAAGTCATATACAGAAACAAATGCACTGGACCGGGGAAAAAACACAGGGACCACGGCACTCCAGGGGGACACGGTGGAAAACTATTTACACGCCAAGTATAAAAGAGTGAGTCTATAAAAAGTGTAATTACCAAAGTATAAATGCAAAACAGAGTGGCACGACAGGGTAACCAGGAAAGGGCAGGACCTGGGCACGGGGCGGGTGGGGCTGGGAGGCCTTTGGTTTCATCTGCAAGGCCACCTGGGGGGTGAGGGAGGATGCTATGAGAACTGTGTCTGGCACAGACGAAGTCCAAGCTTAGCTGAGAAGTTCACACGTGGGCCTGGGACGCTGCAGGCATGAGGTGGCTGGGGTGCCCGCCCGTGCTCCCGAGGGCTGCCCATGCACAGTCAGGGGACCTGGAGGCAATGTCCTGGCCTTGGCTCTGGGCCTAGGCAGCTTGGGGAAGAACGCAGCAAGTAAGACACTGACCTGGGTCCCCCCATGCTCACAATGCACCCACAGAAACATCAGGCTGCGTGATGCTCATGGGATGACAGGGTCGGGGGTGGGGGGGCACTTGTGGAGTTCCAAGATGTGGGCAATCCCCGGGGGGTCCTCGAGGGCAGCCTGCAGTCCGCCTTTCCCGCTGTGCCCTGGGCCTGGCAGCAGCTCCCCACCAGAAAGTGGTCAGGCCACAGGGAGATCCCACAGGAACCTGTGCAGTCTCGGAGGTGCAGGGAGGGTGAGGAGCCAGGTTGGGAGCCAGGCCTGGTGGCCCTCACCACCCCGGGGATCGAGCTTCCTGTCCAGGGTTCCCAACGAACATCACAAGGGTGAGAGCCAGGCAGGGCATGATGGTTGGTTGTGTACCCCGTGCTCCCCTCAAACCACTGGCTTCCTTCTTTCGAGGAGACGGCAAGAGCCAGCCTGGAGTGACAGTGGTGACCGCAATGTGCAGAGATAGACAGGGGCGCTGGTGGGCACAACATTCCCAGGAAGGGGCTCCCCCACGGTGTCGTCAGTGTGGCAGGTGCGGAGACAGTGAGTTTGGGGGCTCCCCCTCCAGGGTGGAGGTATCACGCAGAAGGCACGGCTGGAGGAGGGGCTCCACACAGGAGCGTGACGGTGACAGTCCCTACTGGCTGGCCCCAGAGCTTGCTGTCCACAGTGCCCAGTAGGCCCTGGCCGGCCAAGCACGGTCTGCAGAGTGGGGACTCCAGATGCAAGATGTGGCGATGTGGCGATGCAGCCGTGTGCGATGTAGGTAGTAGGGCTGACCCAGAGGGCTGCGGCCCCAGGGCAGAGCACCTGGGCCTGGGCCCAGCTCCTGGTGCTTGGTCAGCCACTGTCACAGGCATGGGCAGGCCCTGGTGGGCCACAGGCAGCTCCAGCTGGGGGTCCTGGCTTCTGCTACCTCTGGACAATGTCGCTGATCTCCTTCACGGAGCTCAGCAGCTTGCTGAAGTCCTGAGTGGCCGCGGGGCCGCTGCCCGCGGTGGCCGGGCAGATCTGCAGCTCCCGGAGGTTGCTCTCCAGTTTGTCGATGGCCTCCCGGAAGGCAAACTTGTTCCGCATCTGCTGGATGGAGTCCACATAGCTCACGCAAAACGTGTAGAGGTTCTTGCCAGCCTCCAGCACGGCGCTGTGGCTGGCCATCTGCTCCGAGTTCCGGGACACAGCGAGGCACAGTGCCTCTGTGCTGTCCAGGACCACACCCTTCGTGATGGCCCCGCTGGCAATGCGCTCAGGGGGTTGGCGGGTCTTGCGGAGTGACACACGGGTGGGTATGAGGGGGACGAAGGCAGTGGAGGATGGTGGGTCCCCTGCCAGACTTGAGGGTGGCGCTGGCAGCGAGGGTGTGGGCACTGGGCTGGTCGGCGTCCCTGGTGCCTTGGTGGCCGACTGTGGCTTGGGCCCGGACAGGAGTACCGGCTTCTTGAGGCCCTCTGAGAGCTGGCTGGGCTTGGCGGCCTCACTGTTTGGGGCCTCTGCAGCCAGAGCTGGGGGTTTTGTCTTTGTGCCAAGCTCCCCCGTGGCCTCCGGGCCAGGGCTCTGCGTGGCCTTTCCAGCCTTCCCCGTGGAGGCGGGTGGTGGCGGGGGTGCAGGCTTGAGCTTGGACAGCCGCCCCCTGTCCCTGCCCGGGGACTCGGAGGTGTGCTTGTGCCGCCTCACCCTGGACTCCTCAGCAGGGCCTTTGCCGGGGCCCCCAGGGGTGCCTGCTCCCGCCCTGCTGGTGGGGGGCCCTGGCTCCGTGGCTGGTGGGCTCCCTAAGGCACTGCCCTTGCTGGGCTCTTCCTTGTGGGCGAGGCCAGCAGACGGGGTCACGACCACCTGCCGGCGGAGGAGCTTGGGGGTCAGGCTGGGAGGGCTGGAGCCCGGGCTGGACTCCGGGACATCCTTGAAGACCTCGTCGGCAGCCTCCTCACCCTTCTTCAGCAGCCGGGGCGGGGGCGTCACGGTACCCCTGGCCGCCTGCTCCGGCCTGTGCTCACCGACCCGCTTCCGAGGCAGGGCCGGCTTCTCGCTCTTGTGGCCCCCGAAGGTGGATGAGTCGAACTGCCGCCCGGTGGACTGCAGGTCCCGCGGCAGCGTGACGGACCTCCACTCAGGGTCCTTGGCGCCGTGGGGCACGCAGGAGGCCGAGCAGGACCGCAGGAAGCGCTTGCTGGTGCTGCTATTGCCCTCTTCATCGCCGGCCACCAGGCGGCTGCTGGTCAGTGTGCTGGACTTCTTCCACAGGTGAGGGGAACGGAAGCCCGTGCCCCCCGACTCCCGGAAGGCCCCATTGGGGACACCGGCTCCATTGCTGGGCTTGGGCGCCTTGGCGGGTTCAGTGGCGTCGGGGGCGGCAAGTGTGGGCGCCCCGTTGAGCTCCCGGCTGTCCTCCTCTCCCAGGCCCCGGCCCCCGGGCTGGCCGTCCATCTCCCGGAAGGAGCTGCTGCGCTTGGGTGGGGTGGGGGCCATCTTCTTCTTCTTCTTGATCAAGGCACTGAACAGGTTGGTCTTCTTGTCTTTGGGGAGGAGGCGTTCGTCCTCATTCAGGGCTCCATCGGGGGTGCCCCGCTCTTTTCGGGGGAGCAGCGGAGACACAGCAGGCTCGTGGTCTAGGGGATCTGAAACACAGCAGGAGAGGTGAGCGGAGCAGGCCCAGGCTCTGGATCTGAGGGCCCTCCCTAGCTCAGCTCTCCCTGCAGCAGGGCCGCCACAAGAGGGACAACCACGTCCCTGCCATGCTCCCAAGGGCCTGTTCGTTGTGGAAAGGAAGTGGTGTGATTTGGGTGCATTTGTTACGCAGCATTCCAGTGTGTGATTTTGGCATGTTTCTGTGACATAGTCACACCACACGCGCTCCTTCTGCAGTGCTAAGCACAGCTGCCTGTGCTATAGTGCTCAGGGTACACTCATGTGGTACATGCAGGGATGCACAAGGGCTGACTACTGGAGGAGGATGGGTGCTGCTGTGTGGGATGCCCTTGCACCTCCACAGACCCTGAGTCTGCCTGCCCTTCCCCTGAAGCTTCTGTTCAGCTGGCCTGCAGCAGAAGTCAGGCCACTGGTTTGGGGACAATTACTAAGTCATAGCAAAGCCAGGCAGAGGCTGAGGAATACTGTCTTAGTGGTAGCTCAAGCCCTTCCTGACCCAATCCCTTGCTTGCCCACTTTGGGAGAGCCCTCGGAGGACACAGTGCTGCCCCACGGACATCTTGGGGTTCCAATGGGCTCTGCTGGTGCCTTCAGAGCAGCTGCTCTGTGTGGCCCAGTGTGTGCTAGGGGCCTGGAGGAGCCGTGCCCGCTGAGAGATGGATGACAAGGTGAGCCCAGCTCCCAGGAGGCTGCCACTGAGCTGCCTGCTGAAGCCACGGCGCCAAGGGATTCCTGGGGAGGGGTGCTGTGGGGTGGCCTTGTGTGGATGCACTGGCGGTGTGGGGGACATACCACTCTCTCCCTGGCCTTTGCAGTGGGGCGTCTCAGGCACATCGGGGGTGTCTTTGTGCTCGGCTGCTCTCCTGGAGGTCCTTGTCTTGGTGGGCAGCTCTGGGGCCTGCAGCAAGGAGCTCGCAGCCCCACGTGTGCCTTGTTTACCCAGCTCCTTCTCCACCTCTGAGAATGACAAAGACACAGAGCAGCAGCCGTCAGCCGTGATGGTCTTAGCGTGGGACGGGTCCTTGGGCATTCTAAGATCACCGCGGGAGGCAACCCGGTTACAGAGAAGGGTTCCGACTTGCAGGAAGCAGCACTTAAGTGTTTCCCAGAACCCTGCAAGGCCCCCCAAGGCAGCAAGCCTGGCCCCTCTCTGAGCTGAGACAACCTGAGGACTCCTGCGCTTCCGCCAGGAGGGAACTGAAGGCTCCGGGCTGGAGCTCGGCACAGCGCCCCACACAGCCCTCTACCCCTGAGGCTGCCCCGGGGCTGGGACGCGCTTTACCGTCAGAGATGCTGGATTCCTGGAACATGGTTTCAAAGGCCTGGTGGATTTCAGCAAAGGACGGCCGGTCGGAGGGATTCCACTGCCAACCTGGACAGAAGGCACCAAGTCAGACACTGGCATAGGGCCTTGCCACACAAGCTGTGACTGCAGCTTCCAAGGAGCAGTCTGGAAACCAGTGGCGGCCCCGGCTCTGGGCATTGTACCTTGTGACAGGTTAGAAGGACACATGCTAACGGGAATATGGATCACAAGACTCCAGAAAGACAGGATAGCAAACCCTGGCCTCACAGACACACTTCCCCAGTCCTACTCCGTGGTGCAGGGAATAAATAAGCCCCACAGCTTGCTGCTGGCTCACCCTTACTTAGTGGTTACTGGAGTCTAAGAGCCTGTCAGAAAGGAAATCTGGCTAAGACAAGGCTGAAATGAGGGTTAAAAGGCTTGATGGCACCCGGGCTGTGGGTCCATCACTCGGGCAGACTGACACCACCTCTCCTGGAGGACGATTTTTGGTAAAATCTTCCTGAAGTCTGAACCGCACACAGCTCTGAGGCCGCAGTTCAGCTGCTGGAACCGGCAGCGTGCGCGGGGTGGACATCTGTGCTGTGAGGACGCTACCTCCTGCCTTGTGACATGGAGTCGACAGTACCTGTGCAATGCCCCCAAATGCTCACACCACAAGGATGGGTGTGCATCAGGGATGCACGAGGCAGCTATGTGACCACATGAGGTGAGAGTGGGGGGCACAGAGACCCAAATATGTGTGCACGCAAAGGCCCGCTGCCACACTGCTAAGTGGGAAAAAAGCCCTGGGTCCAACGACATGGAGACTATAAAACACACAACAAGCCCCCAGGAAGTACACGGTGCGAACAGCTGTGTCACATCGGCACACGCATGCACGTGAAACCCACTGGGCGAACGCTTGCAGGAACCGCAGCAGAGGGGCCGGAAACCCACTCCCAGGAGAGCCAGGCTTTGCCTGTCCGGTTTTTGCTTAAAAACAGGAAACCAAAGACAACCAACCCATGGATACACTGCTTACGCACACAGGTACGCAGAAGCACAGAAAAGGTCTGCTCTGCAGGCTGTTTGTGAGAATGGGGACAGAGTGAGGGGTCGCCGCCTCCTCTCTGTGCATGTCCTGTGCTAGGGGATTTCTCAGGGTGCCCGAGCATGCGCACACTGTGGACAGGCCAGGAGCGCGAGGGGAGAGGCTCACATGCTCGCATGAGTTCGTAGACCTTCTCCGGACAGCCCTCCGGGCGCTCCATGCGGTAGTCCTTCTCCAGCAGCTCATACACCTGGGACAGGTCGATGCCCGGGTAAGGTGACATGCCGTAGGTGGCGATTTCCCAAAGCAGCACCCCGAACGCTGGAGAGAAGGAGGGTGGGGAGGACGAGGAGGGTGTGATGCACCGCAGTGGAACCTGCCGCCTGGGCAGTGGGTAGCAGGCAGCAGGCAGGGCAGCAGGAGCCCCAGTGACATCAACGGGGGCGGGGTGTGCTGTGGATTCCCTCACTCGGCACCAAGAGACAGAGAGAGAGAGAGAGAGACAGACAGACAGACAGACAGAGAGGACAGCAAGGGTCTGACAGGAGTGGCAGAAGTCAGTGTCCCCTGCCAGGTTAGTCAGGGACCTGTGGCGGGCCACCCCTGGTGGTTTCACAGGAGTAACTCCAGGGCCCCTCCGGACTCTTAAATATTTCATAAAAGGTGCAAGAAATCTTTCAAAGTCTGAAATCCAGATTATGACCTCGAAATCCCATTTTCCACTGATGCAGCCAAGATCCCTTGGAGAGGAGTTCCCACTGGCCAAGGCGAGGGCGGTGTGTGTATCAACACATCCAGAAGCTGACATCCAAGAATTCTTTACATCAAGACAACCACAAAAGCCCAGCTGGTCACCACCGAGGACATGAGACCACCTTGTGACCTAAACAGTGGTATGGGCATGTGCCCTGCCTTTCCCATGGGGACGGTCTGTCCCCAAGTTTCTTTATGTATTGTCCCATTACCAAATGAGAGCAAAGACAGAATAAGAGTCACCCTACGAGGACCCTGGGAAACCAGCGGATCTAGGCACCAGGTATCAACACACACACACACACACACACACAACCCCGAGGAAATCAAGTATTACATACTTTTTCCCTCTCTGAGATAGGGTCTAGCTATGTAACCCAGGCTGGCCTGGAACTTGCACTGATCCTCCTGCCTCAGCCTCCTGAGTGCCGGGATTACAGGCCTGCACCACCACGTCTGGTCAGGCTTTATATACCTCTTAACCCAAGAACACTTCTTCCTTTCCTTAGTGAAAAAAAAGCCGGCCTGAATGTGATCCGGCCAGCTACAGCTGACTGCCAAGGCCAGGGGCACAAGACCACAACATGGAGACAGGATGAGCAGAACCTAGGGGATGGGAAATACTGAGGGACAGTGACACGGGTCTCAGCAAGGCAAAGACGGGGCATAGGTTAGGGTTAAAGAGCGGCACAAGCTCGTCACCGGGCAGCTCTGATGTGAATTCCATGGAACATGCGTGACCATCTGAAAATACCACCTTAAATCCATGAATAGAATAAAACTTTTTAATTGAAAGAAATTTAATGATTGCAATAATGTTTCAACTGGTATAAACAGTGTTGATATTTGGACAGTAATTATTCAAATAACTAACGAGACGTGGTCTATTTATAGACTTTGTGTTAATTTTATTACTAAGAGGCCTCATGGCAGTGATTAGATCCTTTGTGCCATCGGTGCTTCCTGCCAGGAGGACCAAGTACTGATGTGTGAACCACATTGGAATCTCGGCTTAGATGTGAAAAGTATCATTTTGGTGGCTCAATTGGAAATTTGCATCCTGCGTATTTGATAATATTCAGAAATTACCACCAGTTTGGGGCTCACACTGTGATCATGCTCATAAAGATCCTCTGTGGGAGACTCGTGCTAAAATTTTAAAGTGCAAGATAATATACCTGGGATTTGCTTTAGAATAATATGGGTCCAGGGAGCAGGCAGGGAGAGGGTGGAAGACTGCCAGGAGGTGAGGATTACTCAGGCCGTGATGGGCAGCGGTTTTCTCTACAACCCTCTATTCTTTACGTTTATAATGTCATAATAAACATTCTTTAAAAAATAAACTGTCATGAGACCTCAGAAATAGGCGTCCTAGCCAGGCGTGGTGGCTCATGTCTGTAATCCCAGCACTCGGGAGGCTGAGGCAGGAAGACCGAACGTTTGAGGTCAGCCTGGGCTACACAGGAAGACCTTTGCTCAGAACAAAAAGAAAAAAGGGCAGCATGTTAAAATAAGTGAGGTAGCGATCCTGGGTTATTCAGAAAGAAAAAGCATTTTAAAAGAAGGTGAGAAGATGTTAGAGAAAGCAGCAAAATAACACAGATAATTAAGTAACAATGCAGACAACATGGAGGAGCAGGTGGGAGGCCGGGGGACACTGGGGAAGGGGCGGGGCTGGCCTGGCCATCCCCGCAGCAGTGGCCCTTACCCCAGACGTCAGACTTGATGGAGAACTTGTTGTAGGCCAGGCTCTCGGGCGCCGTCCACTTGATGGGGAACTTGGCCCCTGCGTGGGCAGTGTAGGTGTCGCCTGTCATCAGCCGGCTCAGGCCAAAGTCAGCCACCTTCACCAGGTGATTTTCCCCGACCAGGCAGTTCCGGGCGGCGAGGTCCCTGGGAAGGAAGCGAGGCCCTGTGACCAATGCCGCTGCTGTCCAGCGTTACAGAGCTGGGTGGGGAGGGTCTGGTGTGGCTGTGGGGCAGGGGGACGAGGCAGCAGAGGCCCACTGGGAGCAGCACCCCGGCCGTGACCTATGCTGGTGAGTGACCCCGGGACCCGCGCCCCGAGTGTAAAGTGAGGGAGGTAACAGCGGCACCCGCCCCTCAGGGCTGCAGTGCAAGGCTCCTGCCAAAGCCTCGGAACAGTCTCAGCCGGGCATCAGCGTGGGCACTGTCACACTACGCCAGGTGTGGGGTCCACATGCTCAGCCCAGGTCTGGAGACTGTAAGACACCAGCCCCGGAGGCAGCTTCTGGCTCTCTGTACCCCAGCTGCTGCCTCCTTCACCCCCTCCCTGATGCTCCCCCAGACATGCTCTCAACACCTCTCCTGCACAGCCTGCTGCCCTGGAGCCTGCTCTCCGGGGAGGGGAGAGGTTTGATGCTGGTTCGTGGACGTGAACCACGAAGTCACAGGGCCCGCTGGCCTAGAGGGAGCAGTGTACATGGGCAGCCTGATCACCAGAATGGAGCTGACCCAATGGGATTTGGGGAAGGCACTGACCATCTCTGCTTGCACCAAGAGGGCTGGCCAGGCTGTGTGCGGCCAGTAGAAGTTGGGAAATCTCAGTTTGCAGCCTGGGCCTCATAGAGTGTGGAGAATCTACCACCCGGGGGGCTGCCAGGCTTTCACAGCACCACTGCCATCCCTGCCCAGTTATCATATGTGGGTTAGGATGTATCCCACACAGCCTGATAGGCTGTCCTGTGCAGGCCAGTGCTTTGCTAGGAAGCCACTTCCACCTGCAAAACATGCAGGGACCCACGTAATTGCGGCTGGCTTTGAAGGTCACAGCACTCCAGGTTCTGAGCAGTGAAGACAGGTAATTCAGCCCCTGCGCGCGCGTGTACACACACACACCCACACCCACACCCACACACACACACACACACACCCCATCAGCGACAGCACTCCAGGTTCTGAGAGGTGAAGACAGGTAATTCAGCCCCTGCGCGCGCGTGTACACACACACACACACACACACACACACACACACACACCATCAGCGACAGCACTCCAGGTTCTGAGCGGTGAAGACAGGTAATTCAGCCCCTGTGTGCGCGTGTACACACACACACACACACACACACACACACACACACCATCAGCGACAGCACTCCAGGTTCTGAGCGGTGAAGACAGGTAATTCAGCCCCTGCGCGCGCGTGTACACACACACACACACACACACACACACACACACACACCATCAGCGACAGCACTCCAGGTTCTGAGCGGTGAAGACAGGTAATTCAGCCCCTGTGTGCGCGTGTACACACACACACACACACACACACACCCCATCAGCGACAGCACTCCAGGTTCTGAGCGGTGAAGACAGGTAATTCAGCCCCTGCGCGCGCGTGTACACACACACACACACACACACACACACACACACACACCATCAGCGACAGCACTCCAGGTTCTGAGCGGTGAAGACAGGTAATTCAGCCCCTGCGCGCGCGTGTACACACACACACACACACACACACACACACACCATCAGCGACAGCACTCCAGGTTCTGAGCGGTGAAGACAGGTAATTCAGCCCCTGTGTGCGCGTGTACACACACACACACACACCCCATCAGCGACAGCACTCCAGGTTCTGAGCGGTGAAGACAGGTAATTCAGCCCCTGTGTGCGCGTGTACACACACACACACACACACACACACACACACACACACACACCATCAGCGACAGCACTCCAGGTTCTGAGCGGTGAAGACAGGTAATTCAGCCCCTGTGTGCGCGTGTACACACACACACACACACACACACACACACACACACACCATCAGCGACAGCACTCCAGGTTCTGAGCGGTGAAGACAGGTAATTCAGCCCCTGTGTGCGCGTGTACACACACACACACACACACACACACACACACACACACCCCATCAGCGACAGCACTCCAGGTTCTGAGCGGTGAAGACAGGTAATTCAGCCCCTGCGCGCGCGTGTACACACACACACACACACACACACACACACACACACCATCAGCGACAGCACTCCAGGTTCTGAGCGGTGAAGACAGGTAATTCAGCCCCTGTGTGCGCGTGTACACACACACACACACACACACACACACCATCAGCGACAGCACTCCAGGTTCTAAGCGGTGAAGACAGGTAATTCAGCCCCTGCGCGCGCGTGTACACACACACACACACACACACACACACACACACACCATCAGCGACAGCACTCCAGGTTCTGAGCGGTGAAGACAGGTAATTCAGCCCCTGTGTGCGCGTGTACACACACACACACACACACACACACACACACACACCCCATCAGCGACAGCACTCCAGGTTCTGAGCGGTGAAGACAGGTAATTCAGCCCCTGCGCGCGCGTGTACACACACACACACACACACACACACACACACACACACCATCAGCGACAGCACTCCAGGTTCTGAGCGGTGAAGACAGGTAATTCAGCCCCTGTGTGCGCGTGTACACACACACACACACACACACACACACCATCAGCGACAGCACTCCAGGTTCTAAGCGGTGAAGACAGGTAATTCAGCCCCTGCGCGCGCGTGTACACACACACACACACACACACACACACCATCAGCGACAGCACTCCAGGTTCTGAGTGGTGAAGACAGGTAATTCAGCCCCTGTGTGCGCGTGTACACACACACACACACACACACACACACACACACACCATCAGCGACAGCACTCCAGGTTCTAAGCGGTGAAGACAGGTAATTCAGCCCCTGCGCGCGCGTGTACACACACACACACACACACACACACCATCAGCGACAGCACTCCAGGTTCTGAGCGGTGAAGACAGGTAATTCAGCCCCTGCGTGCGCGTGTACACACACACACACACACACACACACACACACACCATCAGCGACAGCACTCCAGGTTCTGAGCGGTGAAGACAGGTAATTCAGCCCCTGCGCGCGCGTGTACACACACACACACACACACACACACACACACACCATCAGCGACAGCACTCCAGGTTCTGAGCGGTGAAGACAGGTAATTCAGCCCCTGTGTGCGCGTGTACACACACACACACACACCCCATCAGCGACAGCACTCCAGGTTCTGAGCGGTGAAGACAGGTAATTCAGCCCCTGTGTGCGCGTGTACACACACACACACACACACACACACACACACACACCATCAGCGACAGCACTCCAGGTTCTGAGCGGTGAAGACAGGTAATTCAGCCCCTGTGTGCGCGTGTACACACACACACACACACACACACACACACACACACACCATCAGCGACAGCACTCCAGGTTCTGAGCGGTGAAGACAGGTAATTCAGCCCCTGTGTGCGCGTGTACACACACACACACACACACACACACACACACCCCATCAGCGACAGCACTCCAGGTTCTGAGCGGTGAAGACAGGTAATTCAGCCCCTGCGCGCGCGTGTACACACACACACACACACACACACACCATCAGCGACAGCACTCCAGGTTCTGAGCGGTGAAGACAGGTAATTCAGCCCCTGTGTGCGCGTGTACACACACACACACACACACACACACACACACCATCAGCGACAGCACTCCAGGTTCTGAGCGGTGAAGACAGGTAATTCAGCCCCTGCGCGCGCGTGTACACACACACACACACACACACACACACCATCAGCGACAGCACTCCAGGTTCTGAGCGGTGAAGACAGGTAATTCAGCCCCTGTGTGCGCGTGTACACACACACACACACACACACACACACACACACACCATCAGCGACAGCACTCCAGGTTCTGAGCGGTGAAGACAGGTAATTCAGCCCCTGCGCGCGCGTGTACACACACACACACACACACACACACCATCAGCGACAGCACTCCAGGTTCTGAGCGGTGAAGACAGGTAATTCAGCCCCTGTGTGCGCGTGTACACACACACACACACACACACACACACACACACACCCCATCAGCGACAGCACTCCAGGTTCTGAGCGGTGAAGACAGGTAATTCAGCCCCTGTGTGCGCGTGTACACACACACACACACACACACACACACACACACACACCATCAGCGACAGCACTCCAGGTTCTAAGCGGTGAAGACAGGTAATTCAGCCCCTGCGCACGCGTGTACACACACACACACACACACACACACACACCATCAGCGACAGCACTCCAGGTTCTGAGCGGTGAAGACAGGTAATTCAGCCCCTGTGTGCGCGTGTACACACACACACACACACACACACACACACACACACACACCCCATCAGCGACAGCACTCCAGGTTCTGAGCGGTGAAGACAGGTAATTCAGCCCCTGTGCGCGTGTACACACACACACACACACACACAATCAGCAACATGTCCCTGGACCACATGACGGCACGAGGGAGCAATGAAATGACAATAGGGAAGGGAGAAGACCGTGTGCGCTGAGTGAAAGCCGCGCTCCGGCTGGTACTGGCATCTGTGTGAAAGCCCCACCAGCTGCTCCAGGAAGAGGTCATTAGTGACAGCACGGCCTCTGGGAACAAGGCATCGGTGCTGTCTTTGAGGGGCCCCCTGGCGCGCCCTTGACACTCTGCTCAGTCACGATGGGCTGGAGCCGGGCCTCACCTGTGGATGAAATTTTTCTTCTCCAGGTACTCCATGGCAGAGGAGATCTGTGTGGCCATGTAGAGCAGCACCACGGCGGTCACCTCCTGCCGATTACACTCCCGCAGGTAGTCCAGCAGGTTGCCATAGGTCATGAACTCGGTGATGATGTAGAACGGGGGTTCCCGCGTGCAGACCCCTGCGGCAGGACATGGGGTGTCGGCAGCCGCTGGGAGCCTCTGAAACAGAGGCTGCTGCGCCTGGGCCTGACCACTAACGGGGTTCTGAGCACTGGGGCATCGCACACCCCTGAGGGAAGCATGGCTACACCCTGTTCGCCCCCTCCAGTCCCTGAATTTGAATGTGCACTGGGAGAGGTTGGCAAAGGCCAGGCTCCAGGCCAGGGGACCCCCGGTGGCTATGCCTGCCTGCAGGCCACATCTCAGTTCCAGAAGCCAATCTGGAAGCTGCTCCTGGAGGCTCTCGGGTCTCCCCTACCCCACCCCAGCCCACACAGGCCTCAGTCACCAGCTTCTGGTGCTGGTTGAGCATAGCGGATGGATGCCTGGGCCTGGCTGGTGCCCCTGGGGTGTGGTCCACATCCGTCTCCCAAGTTCTGCACTGACTTACCGAGCAACTGGACCAGATTGGGATGCTTGATCTCCTTCATCACTGCAGCCTCCTTCAGGAACTCTTCTACCTCCATGGTGTCCTCCTGCAGCAGCAAAGACAGGCAGGGTGTGGTGAGCACCATAGGAAGTGCGCAGGTGACAATGGCGGGAGTCTGGGCCCCCGCCTCCGTCTCATCGCTCCAGATAGGCTCTATGACAGGGACCAATGGCCCAAGGATTTTCCCACCTGGTGCTGAGCCGTCACCCTGGGTCCCCATCGGCCACTATGCAGTTGGTTTCCCCACCTTCTGGGGCTGGTGGGGTCCAGGAAGAATGTGCAGAGGCTGACACCACCTCCCCAAGGAATGCCTGGACTCCTGGGCTCCTAACGCACTCAGCGGGAAAGAAAACAGCTCGAGCTGTGATTCCGCAGTGCATGCGACTTAGAGAAACAGACCCGGATGGCGGGGGGGGGGGGGGGGGGCGGGCGGGGCGGGCGGGGACGGGACTGCATCCCAAAGGACAGCACGGTGCAATGTGGCAGAACAGAGAATGCACAACTGCTCATGTGTGTGTGTGCATGTGAGACAGAAAAGTGTGTGTGTCATGCACTCCAAAGAAGGTTGCTGCCGCTGCGTGGGGGTCAGCACCAGGCTCCCCATCAGCCCCCCATGATGACACGCAGGCGATGTCGGCAGCACAAGTCATACCATGGGAGCCCACAGCACCTGGGTGCTGCTTCTCCACTCCCTCCATCACTGCCAGTCGGGTGTGGAGGGGCACTGGGCCCTCGGTTAGAAACCAGCCTTAAGAACCGGGGCAGGTAGCCATGGAGGTAAAGGGGGACGCAGGTGACCGCCGGTTTCCATTTGGAGCCTGAAGACAGAGCCTATGCGGGGCTTGGGGGAGGAAGCTCTTGTTTTGGCATGGGGTTGTGTCTGGCTCCGTGTGCTAACTAGGGGTTAAACCCAGGGCTGTCACACGGAGCCACAACCCCAGCTCTTTCTATGTTTTTATTTTTGAGACTGCAAGCAGCTCGTTAAGCTGCCAGGCTGGGCTCGCAGCCTCCCGGAGTGCTGTGGTCACAGGCAAGCTGCACCATGCACCCGGTGAGGGATAAACTTCTTGAAAATTAGGTCCTTTAAGGGCTGCTCACCCCAACCCTCCTGTGAAATGTGGAACCCCGGGTGCCTCACTGCTCACCTGCCAGGGCTGCCTGATTCCCTGCTGTGAGACGGCGGGCACTGCCCAACAGACCAACCTCTGCTCGGAGCCGCCAGCTCGTCAATCACGTCCACAAGCGGAACATGTAATGAGGGTGTGTGTGGGCCATTATCACTCCGCTTGGGGCCGAAGCCCAGCGACAATTTACTGCTCTTTCGAGATGGTCAACCTGCTCTTCACGTCAACTCGCCATCGCTGGCCATCACTGTGCCAAGCTGTTTCGTCTGGGGGGAGCTTGCCCTTGCCAGCATTCCACATCCCTCTTCCCAGCCCTCTCGGCTGGTCTAGACATAGCACAGCATTCGTTTCTACAGCACCGTGTAAAAACCGACTACTTTTACAGCGACTGACACTTTCTTAAACATCAGAGGGGCCCAGATCTGCAGAGGCAGCAGTAAGGCTCTTGGAGCATCCCTCTTCCCGTCTGTCTACCTCTACATGCGCAGAGGACCGAATGCCTTGTTCTCTCCTTCAGAAAAGTCGTGTGCATGTCTCCCCCTGCTGGAATCAGACACAGTCCACCACCTTCCAGTGACAGTGCAGGGAAGACGGCAGCCGAGTGACCCGAAGACAGCCCTATGCTATCTGTGACAGTCCTTGGCTCCCACTTAAGGATTATTTTCTGGTGGTGCTGGGGATGGAACCTAGGACCCAGTGCCTGCCAGGCAAGTGCGCTACCATGGAGCTCCCTGCCTCCCCAGCCCTCTTCTCCTTCTAAAACTGAAGACCTGGTGTCTTGTCGAGTGGCCTGGGCTGGGTTCAGACTCTGATCCTCCTGCCTGAGGCTCCCCAGCAGCAGGGACTGCAGGTGTGCCCTAGCTGCCACTGCCTTAGAAGTTAACTCTTCCGCTTAGACAGCAAAGGAGAACTCCCCTGGAGGAGTGCGGGTGGAGGGAGTGCCTTGAGGAACAGCTGCATTCAGCCAGGGAAGAGAGGGCCACCAGGTGCCCCATGAGGCCTGAGCGGGTGAACACCTGGGCCAGCAGGGCAGTGGGGGAAGAGGCTGATTTGCTGGGCCAACCATGCCGGTGCCGTGATCCTGGTGACTGCAGACTGCGCCCTTCTTCCCTCTTTCCCTCCCTTCTCTCTTCATGCTCTTTCTCTTTTATAGTACTGGAAAATGAAACCAGGGCTTTTGTACTGAGGTGCGTCCTTAGCCTTTTTTAATTTTTTATTTTGAGGCAGGGTCTCACTAAATTGCTGGGTTTGAATTTGTGATCCTCCTGCCTCAGCCTCCTGAGTGCCAGAAGTGCAGGTGTATGCTATCACACCTGGCTGAAAGAGCCCTGATTAGCTTTCTGAGGTCTCTTTCTCAGCAGAAACCTCAGCCCTGGAGCAAGACTTGGGCGCAAATAGGTGGGTTTCCACATCTCGGTGTCAGCCCCCCTCTCCCCCAGCTACGGAGGTGCCGGCAGTGTGGTACCTGCCTTCACCATCAGAGGGCGCAGGCGCATCGCGACCAGGCACGCAGGAGAGAAGGGGCAGTTCCTCAGGAGGACGGAGGGGTTCACAAACCAGAAGGGGTCTTGGGGCGAGACCAGCCTGTGGGAAACCGCCTCCCAGAGGATTCCAGCAGGGCGACAGAGCAGGCCCTGGGTCTCAGTGACTGCCCAGAGCCATCGCGACTACGCCCCTCCTTTCCGGCCAGTTTCTGGGGTTCCCTGGCAGAACCACTTTCCTGGGAGAAGAAAAGCAAAAGCAAAACCACAGCGCTGCCTGTGGTGAGCATAAGCAGGCGCCAACCCGGGCGCACGGGCAGAGCCATGGGCACAGGCGTGGACAAGGCTGTCCCCGACCGAGGCACCAATGGGCCGCGTGTGTCCCCTACTGGAGGATGAGGGTGCTTCCCACTGGTTCCGTGTACGTGGGCTCACCAGCTCCCGAACCAGTATTAACCCATGACTAGACTGACAGACAGCACTTTTCCTGTTGCTTAAAACTCACGAGAAAAAAACCCCACGAGTTTTTGAACCACAGCTCATTCAAAGCATGGGGCTCCCACAACCCAGCAGCTGCTCACCCAGGTGCAGCTCCATTCACTGGGGCTCAGCCAAGGGCACCACCCCTCCAATTTCTGGTTCCCTTGGGTCTGAAGGCGAAGCCCCCACAGGTTACGAGCAGGGTGCGTGCCCTCTGAGGACCGAGCAGTGCAGAGAACCTGCACAGCAAGGGGAGACAGGGTGGGGGCTGCAGGAGAGGAGCTCAGGGCACAGGGGAGGGCAGCAAGCTGGGTGGACGGCTCTGCAGAGGGGGCCCGGCAGGGGCAGGGGTCAGGAGCCTCCCCAGATTTTCATGGTGTCTCAGGAGCCCGCTGCGGGGAAGGCGGCTGGGCTGCCGGGTGGAGCTAGCTCAGGGCTCCTGTCTCTTCTCCATTCCCCTCAGGATAGAGTTCCACGGTGGCCCAGTGCCCTTCTCTGTAAGGTGAGGAGGGGCTGAGCGGGGTGCTGTGGGGAGCGTGCGCTCACAACCACCAGGCACCAGGCCAGCAGGTGAGAGACAACCTAGTTATCCTGAGCCTGTGAGGATGAATTCCCAAAGCACCAAGGCTGCTCTTGCTTGACAGGCGGGCAACCTGCTGCCTTCCTGGATTAGGCACCTCATGGCGAGCAGTGGGCTGAATCAGTGGGCAACGTGGAGCCCCCAGCTGAGCTGAGTCAGCGTGGTGCTGAGTGTGGAGGGCCCACCTGAGGATTGTTGCTAACAGCTTACAAGGAGACTAGGAAGGGAGGATGGCGCTGTTGATTCTTCCGGAGAAGCTCAGTGCGCTGGCTTCCTGATGTGAACTCAGCTGTTCTCACTGTCAAAGGAGCTTGGGTCCTTGATGTTACCCTGGTCCCTACCTGAGCATCGCTTCCTGGATCCAGTGCACATCCCTCCGCCTCTGGCACAGCTCCTTCACCCCACTTCTAGCTTCTACCACCTACCTATGGGCTTCCCCAGAACAGATCCTTGATATAGACTTGTATGAGTCATTGTCACAGGCTCTAGGCCTCCAGCTGGACTCATGCAGGACACTCCTTCGAGGTCTAAGCCTTGGCTGGATTCTTTGGGTCTCCAGTATGTGGACGGATCTCTTTTGCGTCTGATTCCCAGGGTTGTCAAATAATCCTATAATGTATGTATTAATTCCTTTTCCTCATAAACCCCATCTACAACATGGGGATGGCTCACAGATCCCCTGCACCAGTCCTGTTGCTCCTCACTAATCGAGACTGGGGAAAGGCACTGCGAGCACAGCAGGAAGGCAGCCCGGGCAGGGGGGCTGAGGCGCCGATTCAGGCCCCTGGGTTGTGCCCTGAGAACACTCTCCACCTCTCCGTCGTCGCTGATGTTTCGCCCCTGGTGCCTCTTCTGAGTGTAATCTCTCGCTCTTTTTAAAGAAGTTTTTAAACGAGCCTGGACTGCCAACACAGTCGGTGCTCTTCGCCTCCCTCCTCCTCACGTTCTTGAGAAGCTGGTCACTGAGCTGGGCCTGGCCGTGTGTCAGCTCAGGGCCTGGCGTCCCTCAGCTACATTCACCAGGCGCAGAAGGGCGCGGTGGCCTTGCCCGGCGCTCCGGCTGAGTTGAACTGCACTGCGCATGTGTAGAAGGCAGACGCGGGTTACAGAACGCGGGTGTGTAGGAAGCGGGGAACCCACTACCGCCAAATCACGGCGGCCACTAACGCCGTGCTGTCCTGAGCCCCGAGCCCCTTGATGGCTCTTCCCTTCTTCAGGGTGACACCACAGCTCCCAAGCTGGGCCAGTCCGCTGCAACTCACTGTCCCCCTCTCCCTGCGACCCCGCCTCGGGGGCACTGCTCTGGGCACAGCCCTCATGCTCTCGGTCCACCTAGGAGGGCCCAACAAAAGGAAGCGAGGAACTCCACGAATATTTACTATATTAGGAAGAAAGTGTCCCACCTGGAGAACAGCCAGGAGTGCTCACTGTGACCCCCGCACACCGCCCACCCTCGCCAACAGCCTCTCGGCCCAAGAGCCAGCATCATCCAGTGCGACCTTTAGGAGGCCAGCGCTGAGCCGGGAACTCAGGAGTGCAATGCCCTCTAGAGCCGCCCTTCGACACTGGCCCACGGGTGCGTTCCCACTTTATTGTGCCTTCAAGGGAAGCATCTGCCACCAGCGTGGCTGTGCCAGCCCCAACACATGTGGCTGATGGATGCGGGGCGCACAGGTGGCCGGTTCTTCCCAGCCACGGAGGGTGCGGGTTTTCTTTCCCAACAGCTATAAAAGGCCGGCATCTTGGGAGTTCACCTAGGACCAACGCTAGGGGGCGCCCTCCCCGGGCCCAGCAGGAACAGGGCAGCGGGTTCAAATGAAAACTGCCCTAGCTGATTTCAAAGAGCTCCCCAAGCAGAGACAAGGAGCCCGGAAACCACAACACCATGCACACATCCAGCGTGTGGTCTGCAGGGACTGGTGGGGAGGGGAGTCCCTCGCCCTGGGGGCGCTCCTGGACCCCAGCTCACCTGCCCTTTGCCTTTGCAGCCTCTAGAGGAGGTTGCTCCTGTCTAACCCGCGGTAGGCAGAGGGAGCCCGCAGCGTTAACAGTACCGGAGTAGGGTGCCCGCTGCCACCATCCGGCCTCGATACCACGCCCCACCCCGCCCCGCCCCGTCCCCCCTCTGGCCAGGCCCACCTTCAGCGTCTTCACCGCCACAGTGAGACTGTATTTCTTCCACACACCCTCGTACACCTCGCCATACTGGCCGCCACCTAGCTTGTGCTTCATGGTGATGTCCGTGCGCTCCATCTCCCACTTGTCATAGTTGGGGGACACTCCATAGACGGTGGGCTTGTTACGCTTGGGCGCGGGGTAGTGCAGGGTGGTGATGAGCCCATCGGCCACTGTGGAATGGTGGTGGACCAGCTCTGCCAGGGTGTTGAAGCGGCTCTCAGAGGAGACGTATAGCTGAGGGCACAGAAGCAAGTGGTTACTCGGCTGCAAACCCACCTGGGGGCACCGGGTGTGCAGAAGGCCACTCAGCGTCCTTCCCTGCATGCAGGCGGAGACACAGGCAAGGACCCCAGCCTCCATCAAGAGCTGCTTTGGGCACAGGAGGACTCAGCGAAGGCCTGCTGAAGAGCAGTGAACTCACAACTGGAAGCGGGTCACCTGGATAGAAACAGTGACCAGAGGATGCAAATGGCTCAACAAACTGCCAGACAAACGCCCTTCTCCTTCGCACCACTGGCTCCTCTCTGGCTGAGCAGCAAGTGGCATGACTGCCCTGGCAGGCCCTCGGCACCCCCAGGATGGCACTGCTCCCCCTTGGGAGTGAGGAGAAACGCTAGGATGCAAGCCTGTCCACGTCTCTACATGGGGGGCCCAGGCTGGGAGCGGGCAGAGTCCCGATGGTCTCCCCTGAGAGGGAAGGAGAGGAGGGGCTGGAGGAAGCCCAGGGCGGGCAGGGGCCACCTTTTTCCTTCTGTACTCCTCGTCCTCTGGTCTGTCAGTGATACCCAAAAGGACGCAGTGTTAGAACCCACACAGCCCCTCCGGGCTGAGGGTGGGAGAGATCCTGGAAGTTAAGGCGTTGCCACGGGTGCTGGGGCAGCACTCAGGTCTTGCTAATGACACGGGGAGCTCTTTGGGGTCCCCCGAGTGTGAGGAGCAAGCCTGGCCCCACCATCCCTGCTTCCTGTCCACCCCTATGCCTCTTGCCTCTGTGGGCTGTACTGTCTGGACCTCTGGCCTTGGCAACTGAGGGACAGACCTCTGTCATGAGGTCACTGCATCAGGCATTTTGTGGTGGGAATGCAAACTAACAGAATTACTTTCTTGGAGTCTGTAATATTCGAGTTGCAACATTTATAAAGGAGAAAGTGACAAAATATACAAGTTGATCCCATCTGTGACCTTTGAGAAGGTTAAACAGGATTCAGTAGTAAGATTTTTCTTCCTTTTTGCTTGGGGTGATGGCACAAGCAATTTGCTTCATTGTTTTGGTGGTTTAGGGGACTGAACCCAGGGCATAGTCACTAAATTACACCCTGAGCTTTTTAAAAAAGTTTTTATTTTGAGATAGGGTCTTGCTAAATTGCTCAGGCCGAGCTTGCATCTGTGATGCTCCTGCCTCAGCCTCCTTCAATGCTGGGAGTACACCTGTACACCACTACACCTGGCAGATGTAAATACATTTTAAAAACTCAGGCAAGTCAATGTATGGCAAGCTCAGGGTTTACAGTCTTTTGCTAACAATCGTTAAAATAAAATTCTGAGAAAAATTCACGAATTGTCAGGAAAGGACTTCTGGGTGCTGGGAAAATTGTACCTCACGTGGAGTCTGTGGCCCTAGGCCCAAGGAGGCCTCTGTGCGAACAGCGTGCGGCCGTGCACGGAGGTAGGACAGCAGCGTAAGTGTGCATGGGTGTGTGTGGGTGAAAGACCCGAGTGGGCACCAGTGTGGCTTGTCTCAGCCTGCGCCCACACGCACGCCCTGTCCTTGGTGTTCCTCAGACTCGTGTGTGGCTATCGAAGGAAACTGAGTGGGACTCAGGGCCAGCGCTGACCCCACCTAGGAGAAGCGGGTAGCTGCCTGGTGACTCCGCTTTTCTCCTGGCTTGGCCCAGCTGAGAGGCTCAGAGAAGTAGGAAAAGCCCCTCTGAGAAGACTGGCCTGGAGTCCCAGGCCTCCCACCCTGGATTTTGCGGGCACCGTGCAGCCTGCTGGCTCCAGGGTGCGGCCAGCTGGCCCCACGGTGGCTTCCTGGGACCGGGCTCACGGCCCACTTCTCCCAGCAGGGCAGGAGGCAGAGTCGGTCTGAAAGGGGTGCTCCAGCTCCCACACCAGTGTGGGACGGACTCATGTGGTCCTTCATGGGGCTTCTCTGATGGACGTTTCAGCAGCAGGAGCTTCATTAGATGGACAGACTTGAAAAGTCTCCAGGGACTCAACGTATACCCTCTGTGGCCAGTTCATTGCTGCACCCATAAAGTACAGACCTAGGAAACGACTTAGCAGAGAGCAAAGGAAGAGCTCTGGGAATCAAGAGCAAGCTGGCAGGAAAACCAGGAACTGCAGGGGAACCGGAGAAACTGAGGACAAGGCAGAGAGAGGAACAAAGCAGCTGGAAGGCCGACTGCACCTCAGGGACCCAAGGTGGGCTCAAGGGGGCCGGCAGCCCCAGGAGCAGCAGCGGACAGCAGCGCCAGCCCCCAGGGAACCGTAAAGTGCAAATGCAAGGGACCCCATCCGCAGGTGGGGCTGCAGCTAGAGGACACGGCCGCGTACATGGGCACCTGAATCAGGGGCTGTTCTGGGAAGGGGCTCATTGTTTCTGCCGGGAATCAGAAGTCACAGAACTGCACTCAGGGCTTCTGGGGTCACCCTACCGCAGTGACTAGGTGGGACAGGCCCACGAGAGACAGTCAGGGAAAGCAAGGAGGCTGGTCATAGGACTCTAAGAAGCTTAAGCCGCAATGAGCTCAGGTGGAGAGGGCCACAGCCATCCTGCCTCTGTGATGAGAAGCCAGGCCAGGGCATAAGATTTTCTGGGTGTGACAGTGCCGGCATGAAGCCCCGTGGAGTCACTGACACCCACCCCTCATGTCTAGCACGGAGGTCCCTGGCCTGCTTGCTTTCCCATCCACAAATGTGGTCAGGGATATACCTTGGCTCAGATGGTCGCCACAACCTGAACAGAGGGGCCTCCGGAGCACCTCGTAAGCCTACAGCCTTAAAGTGAGGCAGAGGCTGCAGCAACTTGGGGTGCACAGAGGGACTCAGTCCCTTAGAGCTTGGGAATGAACAGAATCCTAAGGCAAAAGCTACAGTCCTGGAGGACCTAGCCCAGCAAGACGGCAGGGAGGACTCAGTGACACAGACACACAGACACACACACACACACACACACACACAAAGACACATACACGTGCGCGCACAGCTACGCACGCAGCAGCGGTGTGGAAACAGGCCTCAGCTGTGTCTCCCCACACCTGGTGGATTCTACCTGCACAGGTCTTGGGAAGAATAATGTTCCCAGCACAAGCAAGAATTTTTCTGGATTCATTTTTCCTCATCATTTGTTATTTTTTTTCTTTCTCTTTGTTTATTCTTTTCCTTATTTCTGTTTCTCTTATTTTCTGTTACATTTACCTAATTCTGTTAACTTTCTATTTTTAACTGGATTTCTTATCCCACTTTTTTCTCCTCCTCATTTTCCTTCCCTTCCTTCACCTCCTCCATTTTTATCATGCTACAGTTAGGTATTATTAATTTTTAATATTTTGTTGGCCAATGCTATTTAAAAATTTTTTTGTAATTTTTATTTTTTTAGTTGGCCAATGCTATTACTGGCCAGTGCTCTTTCCTCTTGTTGACTGCCTAGCTGCTGCATCCCACAGATACACATTACCCTGTGTCGGTATTTGGTTTGTCTCATGTCTGCACCATTACAGAGACCTCGTGGTTTTCACTGTGGCTGCGTCACCAACAGCACTGCGGGCCGGTTTCTCCTCTCTGTGTGGTGCTGGGGTCGATCAAGCCCCCAGAAGAAGGCTGGGCAGCAGGAAGACCCCAGAAATTCTGCTGAGTGTGCTGAGGAGAGGTGGAGACACGGAAACTTAACAGAACACAGCACCCGGCACTGCACCACACACAGCGTTTCTACAGGAACTGATCTTCAGCCTGCGGCACAAAACCAGAAATGTGATGAAGCAAGGCGGGAGGAGGCCTCCAAAACCCTCAGCTCCAGGACCTCACAGACACGGACATCCAGGAAGCCATGGACAAACACTCAACACCAAACTGTCAAAATGTCTGAGGAGCTCACAGCAGAAACAATACGCTTAAAGATTGTTTTTTCAAACAGATCAAGAAAGGATTTTACTAATAAAACTTTTGATGAGCTTAAAGAAGAAACAAACTAGAAACTGATTTAAACAAAACAATATGAGATACGAGTGACCAGTCTGGTAAAGTATTAAAAATTACGAAAAGAAAGCAAGCAGAAATACAAGATAAGAAAAATTCAGTGAAAAGCACGGCTAATGGACTGGCCAGAAACCGAAGGTGGACGTAGGGCACAAAATTCAGTGACTCCCTAAAAACAAGACACCATGCAGACCGAGTCCAACACCTGCTAGATGACTCAAAAAAGGAAAAATAAACCAGAATTACAGGAATAAAGGGCAAATCAGAAGATGACTCAAAAGTACAAGAAATTTATTCACTGAAATCACTTAAGAAAAATTTTCAAATCTAAGGAAAGAATTCAGTATTGAAGTAAAGAGCCAGGACTGGAAAAGAACCTTTCCGTGATGCACCACACTCAACTCCCAGAGGTTCCATGAAAGAAGAGAATATTTAAAGCTGTTAGAAGAAAACAGCAGGTGGTTAATAAAGGCAAGCCTACTGAATTACCACAGATTTCTCAGCACAAACTTTAAAGCTCAGCAGAGCCTGCAGAGAAGTTCTGCAAGTCCTAAAAAGAAAAGAATTCTGTAGCCTACAAAATTAGCCTTCAAGACTGACAGACGAGATTGACAAAGAAATCCTAAAGAAAAGATGGCCACTAAAACCAGCACCGCAGAAAATACTCAAGAGAATTCTGGACAGCGACAGGGAAGCCACCAGGAAGGAGCCCAAAGAAAAGTACACATCTAACTGGATAGGAAAAGAACAAAGGAACCAGCACTGGAAAAATAACGCAACGCACAGGACTCAGTAAACACCTTGCAAGAATAATTCTCAATGTCAGTGGTCTTAACTCCCACTCAAAAGACACCAGCAAATTGGATCAAAACACAAAAAAATGCAGTCGTCTATTGCTTAAAAGAGATACAACACATCCGAAAGGCAGCTCAATGGTGAAAGGGTGGGAAGTGACACACTGTGCAATGGGAACCCGAAAGCACCTTTATTCTCAGGCTCAGCAGACTCAGGCCAAACCTGGCAAGAAGGGACAAAGA